AACTATATTGGTGAAACTTGATGTATAGTTTCGTTATATCAATACCTTGACTAAGTTTGATAATGAGCGTTTTCTGCCCAGTTTTATAAGCAGAGCGATACTTTAAGCAATTTGATTGGTTGAGATTCAGAGCTCGATAACTTTGATTCTAATTGAGTGAGAGTGGTAAAACTTTGTGTATAGTTTCATTACGTCAATATCTTGACTATCGTTAAGTTCGATGATGAGCATTTTCTGTTTAGGCTAAGTAGATACTTTGGAACACAATAATTGAGGTAGAATGTTCAAACTTGGTGTAGGTGTTTATTTGGTGAATGCCTTAACAGTGTTCGATCATGCACAGATAAGCAGAAATAAGCAATTTCATTGGTTGAGACTTCAGAACACGATAACCTTGGTTCTAATTGGGCGAGAGTGATGAATCTCAGAGTATTGATTCATTATACCAACACCTAATCTTGACTTAGTTCGATTATTCGAATTTTCTGCTTAGGCTTATTAGCGATAAGCAATTTGATTGGTCATGACTTTGGAACAAAACTCTGCTTTTAGATGTGGTAGATGTTCATGAGGTGAATGTCTTATCTAAGTTCTGTGATTAGCATTATCCGCTGAAGCTTGTTATTCTTAAAAAAGGTATATTGGGCCTATGACTATGAGTATGAGCTCTCAAGAATCCAAGAGCTAAATCTTTACTCTCTTACACTGTTATACTGATGGGTTGGATGGTCGAATGGTTAACATGTGCATGTTGTATCATACGGTCTGTCACTGAGTCAACTGGCGTGGTTTCTATTCCCTAGTAGTTGTACGTGACCAGGAGTAGGGTAGCCTGTCCAACCACATGGGTTTTCTCCGGGTCCTCCGACTTCTCCCACTCCTAAAGACCCCTACGCACAAGTGAATTATTGAAATAAAATTGAACCATGTCTTAGTCCCAAAATGACATAATTTGTGTGAGTAGACATTAAACTTTCTCTCTTTCTCTCTCTCTCTCTCTCTCTCTCTCTCATACTGTTATACATTTAGATATTGATATTGTTGTTAATTTATTATAATTCAGGCTATGTCAAAGCCAGTAATTGTTGTAGAAGAAAGAGTAAAAAGTAAAGAAGAAACAATCAGTGAATTATTTCAACAGTTGAGAGAATATTACCAACAGGCCAATGAAGCTAAAAGATTAGAAGGTAGACTTAATAAAATAGAGGCACAAGTTAATGAACAAGTGAAAGTGCTAAAATATGAACTAGAAAAAGCTATAGATAGAAATGAACAGTTACAAGAAAGAATATACGAGTTAGAGGCAAGACAAGAAGATCTTGAAGGTGTACAGGTTTACAGAAGACTACGATTACCTCGTTTTCATGACAGAGAGATACATCTCCGTGTTGAAATTCATAGGCAAGTACCATCTAGATAGATTCTTGCAAAGTGGTGTATTGGCATTAAATCTGTCTATTGCAGATCTTTCTTTAGGCCTGAAATGTTATCTAAATTATTAATTAGACATTAATTAACTTATCCAGACCATAATCAACTCTCGATGTCATTGCTAGCCTGCTATATTTACTGGATTGGAATCTGATCTGCTGCTCCACGCTCATTTATGATTAAATCAAAAAATGGACAATGGAGACTATGTTTTTTATCGTACCGACTTTAGTAATGATGATCGAGGCTAGACCTAAAATTCAATCGCTAAATTCTCGGTTCAGAGTGAATCAATTTGACTGAGAATTTAGCGATTAAATTTTAGGTCTAGCCTCGATCATTACTAAAGTCGGTACGATAAAAATCATGGATTTCAACATCAGCAAATTGGTGGTTTCTTGTTGTTTTCCTTTGTTTGTTTACTAAAAACTTACCTCATATTATAAAGAACATTAATTTGGCATGACACTGGTCACACTGGTAAACATTTGAAATCATTAACTTTCTTACTCACGGTGGCTGAGTGAGTAAGACTTTGGTTACCTGACCTGGAGGTTCTGTGTTCGATCCCTGCATTGGCAGAGAAAGTTCATCAGGATTTTCCGGCGTAGTTCCACCTTGTCAGTGAGGTAGGAGAGGGCCTTGCAAGGGACAATGCATAGTCATTTAGATGGGACAAAATAACAAGGTTCTGTGTACACATTGGCATGCAAGTAAAAAATCCCTTGGCAGTTGGAATTGGATATAAGAGTAGGCCTCATAGCACACTTTATGACGTATGTCTGACTTCATGAGTCCAGCAGAGTAGGACGTTAAACACCATTTCATTTTATTTAACCTTCTGTTAGTGTTTTATCGAATGTATGCTACCATTGTAGTCTTTATCATAAAGTACATAGTACATGCTATTGGAATTGTGGTTTCTGGTTAATTGCGATTTCTGTTTTACTGTCATGGGATTTGTAAGTAGAAAATTGAATGATCTACCATTACGGTATGTAGCCGTTCAAATGAATGATTTTTGTGGTTGTGAGTTTTAAAAAAGATAAAAATGTGGTTTCACGTAAGATTTTATAATAAAATATCAATTATCATAAAAAAAATGCTTTCATTGCATGGTGGATGATTTTGTTAATTGGGTTCTTACATGACAGATTTTTAAAAAGATTTTCTAAAGTTTATGTTGAAAATTTAATACAGCCAGCTAATTAAATAAAATTAATTTTGTACAATTTTGAAAATTTTCAGGGGACTTATTGGTGAAGCAAGCGAAAGACAGCCTAATCTAGAAGTAATGGTGACATCAGATACAAAACTATCAACAGTGTTAAACATTGTCAAGATGTCACTTGGATTAGCAGACACCACACCGTTAATAGTCAGATTTCAAGAAAATATTCTGGAAGGAGATCAGTCTATTAGAGAATTTGGAATAACTAATGGTTCGATTTTGGTGGTTTCAACAACAGATCTCGATGAAATTGTTCGTTAGACTATGATTTGATGAATTTGTCAAAGGGAATGTTGAACATTGAGGTTTACTCTTGAGAAATCTACTCAACTGTATTTCATCTAATCCAGTTTAATTTCCACAAACATTTAGCAAATGTGGATTAAACCTGAAAACCTTTTATTAATTAAGATTGTTCCCAGATCTATAACTTACATTATAGATGTTAGGATTTTCTTTTTCCCCCACAAAATGGCTACCAAATTTATGTTATGAGTAAAAATTTATAACCAAAATTTGATCTATGCATAATGAAATCTCAGTAATTTTGTTATTGAAAAAGAAATGGTTACTGAAAAATATTCAGACTGTTTTTCTTCGTTCTTTTTGAAGTTTTCGAAGAAAATACTTTTTTTTATGGAGAATTGTAATAAATTTAATTGTTTTATTTTTATCTAACAAATTTTATTAATGAATTTATATTCCTATTTGTAATTTCACTCCTTACACATTGATGATCAATGGAAAACTATATAATGTCAGGTACATATTTTATTTGATCTCAATTCTATTGCTTATAAGAACACCAAATCTATCAGTTGTTATAGCTTTAGTGCTTTCTTTTTTCATCGTCCTATTATTTTCTTTTACAGTTGGTAACAGGTTGACATTAATAATATTTGATGTAAATAGTGCCATTAGTCAGAATACTGTATGACATATACTGTAATTATCTTATATTAGCCTACTTGTAACTGATGACAGAGAATGTCATCTTTATTTATGTATATAAACTAAAAAAGGCCTTATGTGTTATAGTTTACTGTGAAGTATACCTTATAACACATTTAAAGTAAAATGATTTTAAAGAGTTATGTTATTATTTATAACTGTTTGTGATTTTTCCCCACTACTTTATTTGCATTAACCATACATTTATTAAAACTTTTTTTGTAATCATATTTGATGTACCATATAGAAACATTTCCTTTCAAAATTATTTGAGAGAAAATATGTGTATTTGCTGCTAGAAGTGTAAGGGTACATATGGAATACCAATCTGTAAATAAATTGTACAATCTACATACTTGACCTTCATTAATCTTAAACCCTTTAGCACGTAGACTGCCCCAAATCACACAAACTAGGACTCCTTAGACTGTGCCAAATCACCCTGTCTCTGCACAGCTGAACTAGTACCAGTAAATGGGTCAGAAAGCTATTCAGGTATCTCTTGCAGTTTGACGCAGTCTAAGCAACAGCAGTTTCTGTCTGTCCAGGGATGTACCAATATTGATGTCTGTTTTCTCTAATTTTCTTCAAGGAACATGTACCAAGCGCAAAAGGATTAATAAACAATGTAGCTACCCCCCCCCCCCCCCCAATAGTACAACAATATAATGTTTGATCAAAGCTGCATAATACTCCAGTTAAATGTATTGTACTGTAACTGGAAAAGAGAAAATATGTTTGCTTCCATTGCAGCTTGACTTGATAGATTCCACAAACTTAAAAAAAATTGTTTTTTTCTAAAGCTTGCAAGGTCCAGATTAAGAAATGGGCTTTCTAGGGGCCTCTTATTACTTGTATCCCAGGGGCCTACCAAATTTCAATTAAGTTGTTGGGGAGAAAGAAATGGGGTTTGGAAACCACTTGACTGTAACCAGGTAATATTTGACTAATATACAGTATTTTGGCGACCAAGGAATAGCTGTTTTCTGTTGTGAATTGTAGTTTGTATTGGCAAATGTAACTGTTGAGTGTTATGCTGAAACCCTTTTGGATTCAATACACGTCTGAGAACCAGCAGATCGTGTAGATCGTCATACTGTAGGATATACTTTTTTGGGGTCTTTCTCTTGTGTACAGGGGTATTAAGAAATGGAGAACTCGGAGAAACCCATGAGGTTAGCCTCGGTACCAATCCTTCATCAAATCCATGACATGCAAAAAGAATAGGGCTTATGATCCCATAATGGGTTGGGCATCAAAGTTTCTTGGAATTATCACCAAATTTAAACTTGGTGCCAGAATCACAAGGATGAACCTTAATGAATTAGAATCAGAAATTAAGTTTTTTGCACTGGTCGAACCACAGAATGAAGCCAAATTATCAAAATTGAAGAAAAATCAAGTTTATTTCTGTAATTTTATTTGTATATAGACAAAATATCACAAATTGTTTATAATATATAAATAAATAATAAGCACAATGGTTTCGATACATTAAAACATTTGCTGAATAAATTTTTATATCAGCAGTTTTATACCCAGCAGTTAGTGAATTTTGGATTTAATCAAAATAAAAATAATCATTTAAAATAAGATTTAATAATGGACGGTTTCTACACATTTGCCGAATAAATTTATATCAACAGTTTTATACCCAGCAGTTAGTGACTTTTGGAATTTATTATATAAAAAAAAAAATAAAAAAAAATAGACATTTAAAATAAGATTTAATAATGGACAGTAAAAATACTGTAGGAATGGCGACAAATGTCACAATACCGGTAGAAGGATTTATGATGAATGCTGATAATTTTAGGGAAAGAACAATCTCTTAATAACTATGACAAAATTAATACTGTAATTGTACAAGGTACATGTAGTATATTAAAGTATAAATGAGTCTATGCCAGCCAGAATGATTTGTTGTCATTAATCAGCCTTTAATTATACTAATTGTTGAATATGCATATTAATTTAAAAATTCTAACAATAACTGTGGTAGGTGCACTATTGCTGATTTAACACAATTTAAAGCTGATTTAGACAACATCATATACTGGTAGGTTAGATAATTTTATGCTTGTTAATTGTCATCATAAATCACACGAAAAAATCCCAACCTATAACAATAACACAGCACATTTAATTTTAATAAATGTATACATAAAGGACAAAATGCTGATTTAAATCAAAATACTGAAATATGAAGATAATTGGTTTTATGTCTTCACAGTAGATTAATTAATGGCTTAGTGGATGGAATGTTTATGATAAAATATGCCAAAAAATATTATAATTCATATATTAATAAAACAGAAGAAATATGTCTTAAATATCACAGATTTCTTAATACACATCTTTAAATATTATATACATAAAACTCATTAAATAAAATAAATTATTATTATACAAAACTATTATTATTAATATACATATTTACAAACAAAAAAAAGAAAAGAAAAAAAAGGTTCTTCTTGAACACTAATTTGTACAGTTTTAAATTAGAGTTTTGACTCTAGTTAAAATTTAGTGTTCTGCTGAATAAATTTAATACATATATTTATTTTTAAATTCTTATTTAAATCAAATTATTCAGTAAGCTGACATAATAAAGCAGCACCTTTGGCAATCCAATAATCTTGAGGCATCTGTGATGGTAAATATACAGCAACCACATAATTAGTTGAGTGACCTGTAAATAAAAAAAATTATAGAACTACAAAATGAGAACTGTGTAATACTAGTTGATATTGAAACTATTTTTCAAGACATACTTTATTTGCACAGCATTATGTTTTCTTTTTTTAAGTGATATCAATAATCCATTATAAGATCCAGTAAATTTAGCTTGCTTACAAATTCATCCAGATTCTATTTAAAGAAATACACCAGAAATTTTGACTGGCAACATAATATTCTTGACCACAAATCACTGATCTCAATAGTAAACCCTAATACACAACAAAGAAATGTACATGACACTGCATATATTTACTCTGTATATTAAAATATTATTAACATACCTGTAGTAGAGAGGACTCCAGCACGAGCAGACGTCTTATATAACGGTGAACAATAATTAAATTCATCGGGTGTAAAGTCCATTTTAGGTTCCATGTGCATCATGGGCAATACAGAGTTCATGACACCAGGTCGAGAATCTTGTACTATCATTTTTTCCATGTCAAAACCAAAACCATCAGTAAATAAACCATGAACTAAAACACCATCTTTTGGTGACTCAATCTGAAAAAATAAAGATATGTACACTACATGTTTTCGTATTACCCAAATATTTTATTTTTTTATGCTTCTCTGTAGTTTTATTGTGGCTATCACAGTGAAGTGGGAGTCATGCATGATGACTCAATAAATATGACACTCGCTCACTAACTAGGTTCAATCCTGGTGTTGAGGGAGAAAATTCCAGTGGTGCAGGACAGAGGGTCTGGCCAGGAAACGCATCTAAGGCTTTTTTATCGACTTGCCAAATCGATTTGAATTTAGTGGAGATGTCATGTGACAATATAGTCGATTTCAAAGTACTTTGGCGAGTTAGTTAAATGCTCCGATTAGCTGTAAACAATTGTTGTGGCTGGACACAGCTGAAAAAAACATGTGATCACCCGATCAAATCGTCAAATCACACCCTGAAGTGATTTGGCGATTTGATGTAATTGCTTCGGAAATCGGTGTCGATAAATTCGTTGATCAGGGTAACCAATTTGAATTAGATGGACGTTAAAGATGAAAATTTGATTGAATGCAAATCATTTTGGCTAATCAGTGGTCGATAAAAATGCCTCTAGTCATTTGGATGGGACAAAAAACTGATGCACGTAAAAGATCTCTTGACAAGTTGGAATTAGAAGTAGAGCAGAGAGAAACGCCACTGTCATAGCAAAAATTCACTCAGCAAACAGCATGGTGTATGCCTGTCTTAATTAGCCCAGTTGGTATAAACTCAAATCAGAATTCAAAAAGTCATCTTTAACTGGACATAGCCTTATCTTGAAGCCAAACATCTTAACTATCTATTATGAATTATCTAGCCAGATATATAAGGTACACACCTCTTGATCTAATGGTATTTCTTCACCAAACTTAACTTCTTCCATCTGTTTGGTCACTTCTTTCTGATCTCTATAGTGTGGTAACATGTGATAATCAAAACTTAGATGATCTATAGGATAATTATACTTCCTTGCATAATTCTGCAGAGTTCCAGTCAAAAAACCTGAAACAGAAAATATAATAACAACGTGAACTAATTTTCAGATATATATCAATAGACTAATATTAAGTTGTCTAACAACTGGCTAGATGAAAACTTGCAATCAAATTGCAATCAACATTAGTTTAATTACAAAGTACAACAAAGTGTTCTATTTGATGCGAAATATTTTATCTCAGCAGCACTATCTTTCATACAATTGACTGTAATAACAACCATTTGTCTTTAACCCTGGGGACACTATTGCTAATTTCACAACCTACAGTACAAGGTAGTCTTAATATAGAAAGACCGGGAACAATATTACCAAAAGTTATAAAGCTGGTGATAATTCTTTATTAATATTTATTATTCTTACCTTGAGGGAAGAAGAAGCCAGATAACCAATACGATTTAGGTTGTCCGTAGGTAATCCAGTTGTGTATAAAAGCACATCTATAGACTAAGTCTTGTACCCAACTAGCCAGTGATTTTAATGAGGGATAGGCTGCGTTACCCCATAAATCTGGTACCTGGTTATTCAAGAAAGCATGATATACCCTCTCTAATTCTTCACTCATCACAACAAAACCTTTTATAGCTTTTTGTAACTGTTGTAAAGAATCCTGAAAAAAAAATTGTTCAAAAGCTTTGTCAATTTCAGTTGTATCTGGTGTTCAAAGTCAATGGACTCAAAGTGACTATTTAAGGATATGACAACAAAAGTTTTACGGTCATTTACAAACCTAAACTCCTTCAAAATTAAATTAATAAACCCCAAAACAATGGTAGGTCTGCAAATACGAAGATTGTTTGACTCAATCACAGACCTTACGATCTATTAGGGCACACGTAAGACCATTCGCCATCCAATTCCCCTTGTTTTCTTAGTACCACATCTTTGTTATAGTCATGGTTAAACACATCCTAGTACTTTTTATTTTATGATCAGTAGTGGAATACCGCGTTTTATCAGTGAAATAAAAGTGTTATTCCACTGGCTAAAGTAGTCCATGTTGTTTTTACCTAAAATGATTGTAAAACCATAAAATAAATAGAACATTTGTCGTTTTGTCGTGAATAACATATTTTATTTCATCTCTAAGCAAGAAAACGTTTATATTTTCACTCATGCTACGCATTCGTGAAAATATAAGTTTTCTTGCTTCTCGATGAAATAAAATATGTTATTCACTCTAAAACGACAAATATTCTCTATTTATTACTGACAAATGTAATGATTTACAGGGAATAAATGTTAAATTAAATGGATATATTACCTTTATAACAAATAATAATTTATTAAATCTGTCAACTTCTTGTGTTAGCACTGTTGTTAGTGAATTTACTCTTCCCTTTGCATCTTGCTGTAAAAAATAAACAAAATATTTACTTAAAATAATTCAAAACAACTACTTTTTATATGTTAATGCAACAGTATGTAACTTAATATTTTCCATTTAAAAAGGGGCGTGCAGCGAGGTGGCAGAGGGAGAAATGGGGAACATCTGATAGAATTATTGCAGTTAACTTCGTTGTACCAGCTTCCCTGCAGTCCCAGAAGTTGGGGTGAAATTTGATCTGTGTTTTAATCAGTCAATAAAAAAGTAACTATATAAAAATGAATGATTCAAGTGTTTTCTCATTTGAGTAATTTCAATAATGGACATTCATTTGTTTTACATATTTAAAATGTCTCTACTAGAGCTGAAATGTTATAAATAAACAAAAGAAAGATTTGATAATTACCTCAAACATTTCTTTATTAGCCTCCTCTATATCTAGTTTATCCATGAGTTTACCGAGAATACTTTCTGCTAGTTCATAAACAATCTCATCATTAGATTTACCTCCTCCAATGGATGACGTACGTGGTTGTACCTCTAATATGGTATGTATTAGTTTATTGGTTTCTTCTCTCTGGAAGGCGATGTTTGCGTTTTCATGCATACCAAATATCTCGGGTGGATCAATTAGAGGTAGATCTTCAATATACTGTCTGTATTCCTGTAGTGTTTCATAACTTGGAGCATAATAAATACCTACAAAAAAAATATATAGATATGACTGCTTATAACACTTGTAAGATGACTCTGAAAAAACTCATGCCAAATAAATTGTTGTTAGTTCTATTTAAAATTTGAAAGTGTTTGTTCACGACAGAACCAAAAATTTCAGTAGATAATAAAGACATGGTGGCATATTGCTGAGCACACTTGACGCACTGTACGATTGTTTTACCTTGACATGGAGAAGATGCTATAATAAATCTCCTTCAATTTAACATCAGTTTTGTTTTAGAAATGAAATGGGGTTTAATGGCATACTTTTCTGCTAACAGGGTGATTGTGACTATGAATGGTTCCTTTTCAATATAACATGGTTTTTATTTTAGGACATGAAATAAATTGAAATGGGTTTTTTTCTTCTCCATCTGGGCTAATGAATACATCCATACGCCATGCAGTGTGCTATAAGGATAATTTTGCTCGGACAGCTGCACTACAGACTACTCTTATTTTGAATTCAAACTATCAAGGTTTCTTTTACGTGCATCCCAATGTGAACACGGAACCTTGGTTTTGCATCCCATCCAAATTGGGGTTCTTATTTTATTATATTCAATTGTTAAAAAGAGTTAACATGGCAGTCATTTTTCAATATTTTATTGAATGTTTTTATATAGATAACTATCAGCTATAAAAATTATCAGAAAGACCAGTACTTTTAAATTCAAAATGTCTGTTAGACCTTTTACCAGATATGTTTATTACAAACAAAGAAGCACACTGAATTTTTTGTTCTCTATTACCTGAAGGAGAGTATTTATAGTCTGGTTCTAGGGTACATTCCTGGAAGAATATCTTCAGAATAGTTCTCAGACAACGTTGATCCAAGGAATCAGTTACACGACCACCGTATGTAATCTAAAATAAATAGTAAACAGTATAAATTTATTCAACTTATTATAAATATCAGGGAAAATTAACAATTTGATGCACATTAATACGTGAACATTTATTGGTAATTTTGACAATAAATACAGATTCAAAAAATGGAATTCATTTACTGTGAGTCAAATATATTATTGACTTACTTCGCCTCCAATATATACCAGAGTGTCCCATGGTATAGTGCCGTCACTACAAAACATTTGTAGATTCAACAAAGCACACTCTCGGTCACTATCGCTGAATTCATACTGAAAAAAACAACCATAAGACATAAATATACAAATAACAATATCAAATTTATCACATGGAAAGAAAGTAAAAAGTAAAAACAAGTGGTTGCCATGCAAGATACTATCACATTTTTTAAGAGATGGACAGAGAACAAGCTAAATAAGCAATTTTTTGTACAATCAGGGGCCATAATCCAGGATGTTACAGTACAACATGCGACAATATCAAAGGTAACCAAGATCTTTGTGATATAAATCTATATTCTAAGTTTTATCACAATCGAATAAAAATTGTGATCCCTAGAAATGTGGGCATATAAACAGAGCATATATCTAAGTGGTTGCTATTATACATCCATTTATTTATTCATGATTCTTTTAAATCAACTTACTTTAGTGTTCCAACCAAGGGGACCGAACTTCTTTCTTTCAAGAATAATGGCATGGAAGAAACAAAGACCAAAGATCATTCTTCTCCAATCATTACCTAGAACTAGAAATCAATACAACTGATGGTAAGGTAATTAGGATCAATATTTGGATACAATCTTAATCTGCTAACACATGATGGGTATCATGTATGAAGCAGAGTAGATTTGGTATGTTCACATAGCCAGTACAATTTTGTTTTGTTTAGGTTAATTTTTACATTTCTATTTATTGTGATATTATGTAATGACTGCCATGTTTTTATGTGGCACTATCTGCATCAATATAATTCAATGAAATCGACATGTCAGTCCAATATTCACATCTGATACCATAGTATAGTGAGGTCATAGAATAATTGAATACAGTTTTATTATAACTTACTATTCTCTTCAAAGAAGCTGGGAGTTACTTCACCAAATGCTCTACGCATATTGGCACGGAGACCTTTAGGTGGTTCATTTGTAACTTTAACACTGTTCTGTAATACACTGACTGGGAAATGTTTAGCCGGCATAGAACTCAAGAACAGACGATATTCATCATGTATTTCATTTGGGCTTTCTGTTAAGTTTTTAACTAAATTCTCCATTGATATCATCCATGATGCTGCTAAATGACAGTTCTTGAATGAAAGAGACAATATCATATTAGATATCATATAAAATCTTTTTATATAGCCTATGTGGTATCGATACCTTAGTCATTGTTAAAGCATGGATTTTGCTTGCGGTTTAAATCAAAGTCTGTGCCCTCAATCTCCCCACAGACGGACAGCCATAGTTCTTGGGAAAGATATGGCATTTTGATTGTAAAAAAGACAGACTGACAACCAAACTTTTCGCCATCAATGTGGAATAAATTAAAATTCAATTATCCAGTGCCTTTTGTGATTGACAATATTGTTTCCCATGGGTGGTTGCCAGGAGACAAAGGGGGGCCCACCCACCAATACAATTCTATCATTTATTTTTTAAAATGAATAAATTAAATTTTCAAAAAATATGTAAGTGGAAACAAAAAGATGTAATTTGAATTTCATGCTAATAATTTTATTTCTAATATTTATATACTTTTTGATAATTCATATTTTATATTATTTAATGTCTAAGGGGGCCCCCTTCCTCAGGGGCCCACTTGCCATTGGGCAAGTTGACAACCTGGCCAGTCCGCCACTGCCCATGTTTATGTACTTGATAGCCAAGTCTATTGTTCAGTTCCTCTGTTCAAGAAACACTTAATAGATCTATTTTTTTTAAATAAAAAATTGCAACAAGGCCTGTTTTTGATGACGCAGTGGTATCTGAGAACCAGCTAGAATATTTTTTGTGTGGCCCTACATTAATACACAGTTATCCTGATGTCTCCTGCAACAATCCCTCAGTCAAGGGTTATACACTAAATTTCATCACTCTGCATGAGTTAGAATCAAAGTTATCTTGTCCTGAACCATCGACCAATGAAATGCATAGCTTTATGCTTAGATATTATCGGATTTAGTCAAGGTATTTAATGAAATGAAACTATACAGTTTCATCACTCTCACTTCATTAGAACTAAATTTATCGTGTCCCAAAGCATCAACCAATCAAAAGCAGAAAATGCTGATCAAACTCCATCAAGGCATTCACCTAATAAGCACCTACACCAAGTTTGTATATTCTACCTCAATTAGAAGGAGAGTTATTGTTTCCTAAAAAGTGGGATGGACAGACAGACCCACTTTAATAGTCCCCTGCTATCTTCAAAAAAGGGAGTGGGGGGACAATAAAATAAACTTACCTGTAAGAAAACCCAATCACCATTCTTTACAGCACTTACTATCATCTTCTCTGCTACAGGTCCTTGTCCTTGACCTAATGATATTGATTGGATTCTGAAGAAAAAATTATTATTTCCTTCAATGGAATGTAAACATACATTATGCAAGAGCAAAATCTGTCTATTGCAGGTCTTTCTTTAGGCCTGAAATGTTATCTAAATTATTAATTAGACATTAATTAACTTATCCAGACCATAATCAACTCTAGATGGCATCGCTAGCCTGCGATCTTAAGTGGATTGTGAGCCGATTTACTGCATAACTTTCCTTCTCGATTAAACGATTAAATAAATAATTGAGACTATGCTGTTTATAGTACTGACTTTAGTAATGATGACCGAGGCTAGGCAGAAATTTCATTCGCTTAGTTTTCGGTTCATAGTGGATCAATTTGAATGAAATTTTCAGCAAATTGCCTTTACATTATCTAGTTTTTAACTATTATAGTGAGAACTGCCAACTCGTTATCGAATCTCCCATAATGTATCTTTAAGTGCACTTTTAATACACTCCCATATATAATTCAAATTAGCCAACTATCAATCAGTAAAATGGGACATGTTTAATGAGTATTTCATTGTACCGGGTAATTCTAATTGTAACAGGGGAACAGGGAAATAACATTCAGTCAAACTTTTTCAATACATACTCAGAAGAAGTTTGGAATTGACATATTAACAAATTACCTGTCTGTGTAGCCTGATTCTTTAGCAAATCTTAAAAAGTTTCCCATTGGATCAGATCCTGGACTGAGAACAAAGACAAGTGGAATGATTTTACTCATATCTTCATACAACTCATTTAAACCAATAGCTGGACTCTCAACAAATGCTTGTCCTAGATTTAGTTTTACAAAATCAGTTGTGGCGAAGGTTGTCTGTAAAAAAAAAAGAAAGATGATATAAAACATGAACACTCTAGAGTAACTTCAATTATATAGAAACGCCAAACGGGAGAAAAAATTAAACACGGAAAACTTAAGTATTTAATCTACTGTACAAAATTCTGGTTTACATGGCAAACATGAAATAATTTATTTACTTGTGGTAATGTAAAGTAAAATATTTTTTTTACTTGTTTATACAGTAAATGTAACATAATTACGTGTTTCGGACCTTTGGTATGATACATGTTTTGTTTTTTTAATTTATTTCCTTGTTTATATGGTAAATGTAAAATAATTTATTTTCTTGTTTGTTTTTTTTTGTTTACATGCAAAATGTAAAATAACTTATTTCTTCGCTTTTAATTGAAGAAAATAATTGTAAGGCAATTTATTTCCTTGTTTATATGGTAAATGTAAAATAATTTATTTTATTGTTTACATTACCCGGTAGGTAAATGTAAAATTTGTATATATGGTAAATGTAAAAATAAAAAATTTCCTCGCTTTAAAATGAAGAATGTATAACTGTTGAAATATCAAGCCTATTTAGCCTACCTTTTCCTCAGAAAAAGCCTTTATAAACATAAGCTTTTGAAAGGTAGATAATCTTTTGTTCCAATGGCCTACAATTTTACCCTCTGCAGCAGGGGGAGAGTCTTCCCCCTCTTTAGGTGATTCAGGTTCAGGGGGTAGTGCTTCATATAATTCACTTTCTTCAGGATTAGCATGAGTCTAAAGAAAAATAAATATAAATATAACATACCATTTACACTTTTGTATACACTACTCTTTTCGGATTAAGGGGTTATAAGAGAATTCCAGCCCACTTATTGGAGTCCCATTCACATAACTTTAAAATAACACATTAACACCCACATTAACATAACTTTAAAATAACACCCCTATTCACATCATTGTAAAATAGCCCTTCTTTCACATCATTTTAAAATAACAACCCCATTCAACTAAATTAAAAAAAAAAAACACCTCCATTCACATCATTTTTAAATAACACCCACATTCATATCATTTCAAACTAACACACCCATACATCATTTTTCAATAACTCAGAATATTCACATCATTTTAAAATATCACCCCCAATTACATTATCTTGAACTAACACCCCTCATTCACATCAATTTAAAATAGCACATCCATTCACATAATAAGGGGCCTCTTTCACATCATTTTAAAATATCACCCCCCCCCCCCAATTACATCATCTTGAACTGACACCCCTCATTCACATCAATTTAAAATAGCACATTCATTCACATAACTTTAAAATAATACCCTCATTCACATCATTTTAAAATAATGCCTCTTTCAGATTTTAAAATAACACCTCCATTGAAAAACAGGAATTAATATGAATCAAATAAATTTTACCTCTATTTCACCTAGTTTCACCCAAACTGGTGTTTTAGTTAATTCAAGATGGATGTTACGGAATAATGGTAGGCTGTCATGTAGATCACATGCTGTATTCCATGTTTGTTGTGTAAGCCAGGGTACATCAGGTTTAGGTGGTCTTTCTTTGTCCAAACCAGCTGTTCCACGTAAGAAGAAATTCCACTGATTAATAGTAATCAATCCAGCTGTTTTCATTATTTCACCACATAACATGAAGGAGAACACCAATTTATCTTTTTCAAATAATGCTCTGAAGATGGAAAATACATATAAATTTGGTGATAAAAACAATGAGTAAAAAATTCAAACTTATAAAATGCAGTGGTTCATATTGATTAACTTCTTTCAGTTAGGTTCACGAAAAATGGATGAAATGAATTGAAATTGGGTTTAACATTTTACTGCATGTTCTGCTGAAAAATGGATGAATTTAGTTACTTTTTCACTGCAATCATAAAAGCCATTTCTTATGATTCTTAAACAAAATTTCCTTGATAAAAATTATCTATTAAAATTTAACCCAGCCCTGAAATTTAATTTGTAAATGGATTTGATAAAACAATTACCTGGCCACATTTTTATAAACACACATGGTCGTCTGATCCAGACAGATTTGTAATCTTTTATCCAGGTCATCATTTTTCTCACTTGATTCTATCGTATTATTAAACAACTATACAGATATAAAAGAAATAAATAATGTATATAAGGCCACACAAAATAAATGTCTTGTTTCTCGGGCAACTGACAGCTGAAACTGTAGGGAGGGAGGGCGGTTTCTTTTTTTTTTTTACTCATTGATGGTGCAAAATAAAATTTGGCTATTGCTGAAAATTGTTGGGGCGGGAGGGCGGTCTTTCTTTTTTTTTTTTTTTAAATGAGAAAGTCATTACTTGTTTACGTTTTTGCTTTCCGTTATATTCAACTTTATTGTACATACTTTAAACATAAACCCAAAATCAAGTCTACTAAAACACTGAGACTGAACACTGACTGAAAGGAAAATAATTTTCCATATTTAATTCACATAATTGAAATTGGTTTAAAATAAAATTCCATACGACTATGTAATAGCCCTCCATAAAGACAACAATATTTTTAAAAACTAAGCCTCTTTCACCAGGTGTATCAAAAATAATAATCATGGTAAACAGTATTTAAAACTAAATCTAGTATCGCCGGTTTATTTATAATTATTTGCCGAATTCCAACCAATGCATGTCACACCGTGTCATCGGTATTGGAGATTGCCGGAAATACTGTTTCTTGGGATATTCGGTGTGTTTCTCAGGATATTCGGTGTTCTATCCGGTGTTTATATTGAATGACTATTTAAATCTAACTAACAACTGGTCAGTAAAACCATCAAATCGGTAATCCAATTATTATTTTCCGGATTATCGAAACTACCGTAAATGTGCTAATAATGACCCAGATTCTAAGGTATGCATTATGACGGCTATCGTCATCGTATCGTATTCTTAGCTATAATTAATTAACCTGTTCTACGGTTCATTATTTTATCAATAGGATTTTCCAAACAAGGACCGACTGAAGCCGGCAATAATGAGCCGATTACGATCGAATGATTGAAATATTGTCGCCAATGACTTTTAACAGGAATCAAATTCTAGTTTATCAGGGGAGGTAATTAATATCACGTGATACAAAATGGAGGTTCTTTCGATATCAATAAAAAAGGCAAATCTGCCAAACTTCGCCATTGTTCGGATAAAAAAGACAGCATGTTCATCTGAATCATTTTTAATACATTTGAATAGATATACATGTATGGCGGATGTAGGTACATGCGGGATATTTTTTTTACGACTTGCTTGTCGATGTGCGGGCGGGCGTTACATATTTATTTTTTTTCATCAAGACTAATAAATAAACTGCACGCGCAACCAATTTTGCGTGCGGGCGGTGCCCGAGAAACAAGTTATTTTATTTGTGTTGCCTAATAATAGACACAACCCTTTGCCTGAAAGAAACATGTATTATGACATCATAATAAACACAGTAAAAAGGTATTATGACATCATATAATAAACACATCAAAAATGTATTATGACATCACAATAAGAATGATGTCATAATAGTTTTGTGTGAAGATCTATGTGTAAGTACAGTGTTTTTCTCTCAATTTACATTGATTTGTAATTGTTTTGATTTTTGATATTAAATTTACGCTTTTATAGAATAGATCTATCACCTTTTTATTCAATATTTGAAAGATGAAATGAATATTTACCGCTTTAAAATATTTCAATGAGAACTGATACATAGGATCTACTTCTCCCATATCTGCTACAACAAAATACATGACAGAACCACGGGTTGCTACAGGACGATATTTTTCACGAGCTATACTAATCTTAGCTTCTGTTTGTTCAGCTTCTGTTAAACGTTGTGTGATAACACCTGATGTCACCTATAAATAATAACAATAACATATGATGCATGATAACCAATATTTACTACAGTACAACTTAAAGATACATTATGGGAGATTCGGTAACGAGTTGGCAGTTCTCACTATAATAGTTAAAAACTAGATAAGGTAGAAGGCAATTTGGTGAAAATTTCATTCAAATTGATCCACTATGAACCGAGAACTAAGCGACTGAAATTCCCATAAGCCTCGGTCATCATTACTAAAGTCAGTACGATAAACAGCATAGTCTCGATTATCCATTTAATCGTTTAATGAGAATGAAAGTTATGCAGTAAATCGGCTTACAATCCACTAAAGATCGCAGGCTAGCGCAGCCATCTAGAGTTGATTATGGCCTGGATAGGTTAATTAATGTCTAATCAATAATTTAAATAACATTTCAGGCCTAAAGAAAGACCTGAAATAGGCAGATTTAGCTCTTGCATAATGCATGTTTAAGCCTTCACTTAAAGATGGTGAAAGCTTGTCAAAATGAATATAACTTATAATCAAAAAAATGACAACAGATTGGTAAGAATAGACATAAAAAGGAATCAAAATAATCCATTAAATATTTGTTATTTAATAAGAATCCTATGATCAATATTTAGATAAATTTTAAGCATATTTTTGACCGTTTTAAACATATCCAGATTTTATCGTCTGCAGAATGTTGTAAAATTTTCAATTCATAGTTTTACAAATACTGAACAGAATTTAACAAATATTTGGATTGATATTCCCTTTAGATATTCAAATTTTGTTCAGAGACTAAAAAAATTAATGGATGGTCACCATTTTCTGATATCAGTATGGTATGAGTAAATTTTGGATTGACCAGTGCCATTCATGATTGTCAATAACATTTATCAGGGTTGTATACTTGATAACTGAGCCCACTGGATACTTCTGAATTCAAACGGATGCATTTAATAGTGTAATCCACTGTAATCAATGAGGACTTTTTATTTTTTAAAAAATAAAACCAGTCATAAGGCCATTTTTAAGTGACGTAGCAATACCCAAATATTTTATATATATAGCCTAGAGATACAATTTACCGAGTAAAAAAACCAACAAAACAATTACTGACCTTCGATTCATTGAGTGTATTGATCAGTTCTTCATTATCTAATATATTACCCTCAGACTCAAATAATAATTTCAAAATTCTATCTTCTATAGCTTTTAGTTGATTTTTATCAGCATTAATTCTAGTAATAAGTTGATTTCTTTGCTCTTCTAAATCAGGTCTTTCTAATCTTACAACATCACTATAAAAAAAACCCAAATATTATTATAGTAAGAATTTGTAACTTTATCATCAGATCCCCTTAGATGGTGGCAAATATTTTCTACTCTGCCAACAAATCCTCTTGAAGTTGGTGGCAAATCTTCAATTCTGCCAACAGATCCCCTTGTAGTTAATGGTGGCAAATCTTTAACTCTTAGAACTAGAACCCTAGCTTAGTTGGTGACAAATCTTCTACTCTGCAAACAGATGTCCTTAATTCCTCATGCATTTCTATGTATAAAGATTATACCATGAATCTGTATAATCAAATACACCAATTCATATCTAATTGACTAAATTAATGAATAAAATATTGCATTTCTTACCTAAGAAGTTGATCTTCTAATCCAGATTTAGTAACAGTAAAATTAATGATAGTAACTTTAATACAGATTTCAGGTAAATAATGTGGATTGGACATCTTGGTTGTCATGTAGAAACGGAAATTACGATCATAATCTATATCACTATCACCCAGACGGATTAATAAACGACCACCCTGTTGCAAAAAAAACAACAAAATTTAACATAAATTGTTAGAGACTACACAATAGATCTCTTTAATTGTAAAACAGATTAAATTTTGGAAATAATAGAACAAATTTGTACAATAAAATATTAATTTAAAATTATGAAAGGAATAAGGAAAGGTTAACGAATGAAAACTTACAGAAGTGAATGTTTGTTTTAGTAGAACTGGTTCTAGAGCTGGATCTAATGTTTCTGCTAGGTCTTCTAATAACACCGGCATTCCAATACGTATACAATTTTCTAATGTTCTCAAAAAATTGCCATCAGATAATTTAATAACCTTTAACCCATTTTTAGATTCCCGATTACGAATCCAACGGTTAGCCTGGAGATAATAAAAAAAATTGAAATTTAACTATGTGTATTATACCAACAAATGGAAGAGCCTAATCCTGCAATAATTTAAATGTACAATTACTGCCATATTTGTTTTTGTATGCTACCATAAAATCTTAATACTATTGAGAAGAAAAATGGACATAATTAACTCACCTGTTCTTGTGGATCTATCATCAATGGCCACCGTCTGCCCCTAGTTACCAAGATGGCATTTTCTGTTGACACTTGATCTCTAGGTAATCCATCTGAATTCCATTGACGAATCTCAAACGGATCAGCAAGAACTTTTTCAAGGGTCATACCCTCTGTAACAGGTATTTCTAATTCCTGACATCTTTGTGTCCATGCCGCAACAAGTTCTTGACGATAATTACTGGTGAATGCCCCATAATATGCCACACAGGCCGCTGATATAAATACATCACCTATCACATTACCTATTTCTTTCTCAAATTGCTGAAATTTTAAGACAGAAGAAATAATATAACAATTAAACAATTTCCAAAACCAAAGATAGAAAGTTAAAAAATCTATGTGTTTTGGAAGTTTCCATGTAAATTTGGTAGGGTTTTATTATCTCATTTTGACCTAATTTTTTTACTGGTTCTTGTTTAACCAAGAGTTGGCCTCTTGGACAAGAGTTAGACAAATTTGCCAAACAAGAACAACCCATGTCTACAGAGCCTAGTTACGAGTAATTTAGGAGTGAAAAACAGACAACAAACCTTAACACTTTCTTCCCATCTGATCTGTTCGTCGCCTAATGCAGTAGTTAGTTTAGATGCACGTTTTAATCTAGCACCAGTAGTAGCTATATTTCTCTCTAATTTTTGTTTCTCGGATACACTATCATCATATGACTTCTGTAACTCTGCAATCTTAGCCTCTACTTCTGATAATTGGTCTTGTTTCTCTTTTAATTTCTTCATTGTAGTACTGAGTTCGTTTTCTGCGGCTGCTAGTCTGAAATAAATACATGGAGTATATTTGAAACAAATTCGCTGCTACACAGAACACCTAAAAAAACCAAGTTAATCTTTTAATAAAATTTATTGCTTTTTTTTTTGTTATGTTTTTAAATATTATTATTTCGGCTTACCTTTGTCTTTTAGGTTCAACAGTTCTGAAGACATGAGCATACAAGTCCATAGCTCTTACCCACATACACATAGATTTACAAGCCTACAAAATAATATATTACTATTTTATTTGAAAGGCAGAAAAAGTTCCATTTTACATTATTGAAATCATACATCAATATGTGATCAATAGCATTATTTATTCTAATATAGCCAGATAACAAAACCTACTAATGTTCATAGACACAGATGTATTTTTATTTGAATTCTAAAGCAGAAAATCTTGAAAGGCATCATATAAATGAGATTTTAAAAGTTATAAAATAATATAACATAAGTATCTAATTCACAATACCTTGGATACTTTCTCTACAGCTTCGGGTATAAATTTGGGATTGTCAATATATTTCTTTAACTTTTTCAGCATACCCTCTGGAATATTATCTTTATCGTATTCATATAACTTTTTCAGGAAATTAGGGTCACCAAGCTGTACTTTAGCTGAAGCCCAATCAGTTCTGTTGGAGAAATAAAAAAAAAAAATTCAGAAAATTAATATATTTAATATGCATCAGTTTATACCATTTCATTTAATATTAATTTTAAAATATTATGCTTTAATAAAGATCTTATATTTTACAATTTTAGTCAACTAAATATTTTCTGATATATATCCACTGTAATGCTTGCTGTAATAAAACCTTGTATCTTACTTGGCTCCCATTAGAATACACACAGCTTCCATGACAGTTTGTACAAGTTCTGGTGGTTTAGAGAAGACACGAATTTCTGCAATATCACTTTTATCTAGTGAATCTAATGCCTGAAATATAATCACAGTTATCTTGTTATTGGAAACAATTAATTCAAATAAATTTAAAACAGAAGTAAAATAGTAGAGTAGGTAAGGCAATGAAAATTTATCAATCTATTTTTGGACCAGGAGCTTGAAACTTGGCAGACTTGTTCCTTGGACAATCACCTATCTATTGATGGACTTCAATTTTTGGTATGTCCCAATTTCCAGATGGTTACGATATCATATTCAGTTGCTGGTCCATATTACACAGGTAGTTGTTTTTTTAAAAATTCTTATTAGTGGTCATTTACAGCAGGAATTACTGTAGTCGTTCTCAAGAAAATCATTGTAGAAATGTAGCTCCAATTAAAATATAGTAGTTATAGTTTCACCCTAGTTTAAAGTCATATATCAAGAGACAAACCTTAATGGATGCTTCTAAAGCAGGTAAAGCTTCATCTAAATCTTTTTGAGCATCTTTAGCAATTACTTGTGTTTCTTCTGCTTTGACTTTGGCAACAGCTTCATCCTCCATTACCACTTTACGTACCTAAAAAAAAAAATATAACAGTACCAGGTATATGATTGGTACACATAACATGAATACACAAACACAATCCGATTACAATCAAATGAATTGTGGTTTAACGTCCTACTGTTCTGCACCTATCTAGGCTAATGATCTCGTGCTCTGTTTTAACGGTGTACAACTTGTGATTGTGTTGTTCTATCCCATAATTTGTCTTAGGGACCGTCGCTAAATTTTAACACTTCTTTACAAACAAACAACCCATGGAACTGGGTGGGCGAGTTATTCATTTAGACGCAAGTGTTGAGATTTTACACCGGTCCCTTATCTTGTATCATTATAATCACTTACAGCATCAGCTTTCTCTTGATCTACCACCAGATGTTCCATGAGTACTTGAGTACTCTCAGATTTCTTCTTTAGTTCTGGTTCTAATCCAACTAACTCTACCTTCATTTTATCGACTACATCATTAGTTTCTAATAACTTTAATAAACCATTCTTTACTCTATCTCTAGCATTCTTTAATATCCTGTAATATATTGTAATCAGCAATAGAAACATGTACATTTTATCGTTGAGTCAACTCTGGCTCAGTTTGAAAGGGAATGTTTTTTTAAAACATGGTCTTGTTGGAGCAAGAGAGAGAGAAATGGGGTTCAATGTCCTCTTGGCCCAAACTAGGTCATTTCTGGACTAACATGTTCAATTCTATTTAAATAATTTGCTTGCACATAAGCGTCTTTCACAGTGGGAGGAAACTGAAGAACTTGAAGAAAACACACTGGGTCGGGCAGGCCAAACTACTCTTTGCAACATACAAGCTTGAGATCTAAAGCGAACATTTTAATAATATAATAACTGATAATATATAATTTTTGCTTCACACTAGTATACAACTTATTCAATCAATGTATTGGAAAACTTACTTTGAAGATAACTGAACTAATATCATCCTCAAATTCTTACATTGATGTTCACAAATTGTAATTACTTTAGGAGAATTTGTAGAGTGCGGACAACAGAATTTCTGTAAAAAGGTGAACTTTTACTTACTTTGTTCTTTCTGCTAACATAGTAAGATATAGATTAATCAACTCTAGATAAGATGTGGGTGTTGTATAGTAACGCCTCTTTAACTCTGTATAAAATCTCTCAGCCATCTGACTTACACTAACATGTATCTCAACACACATTTCTGATACTCTACCCTATAAAACAATATCTCCAGAATAATTATTACAATAACACATTCAAAGTAACAACATCAGACATTCTAGAATTTTCCATACAATTTAAATTTTCTGATATAAACATTGTCAATAATTTCAAAATTAATTACACATTCTGATAAAAAAAAAATAAAAATGATAAAAATAAAAAAGTACCTTCAGTTCATCACTTCCAAGTTCAACACTTTCAAAGAATGATTTTGATACACCTAACAAAGCTTCTTTAGGCCATTCTATAAACCAATCTATAGTACAGCAGTTAACTAATGATGGAAACATTCTACATCGTGCTCTAAAGGCACTACCAACAGGACTCATACATAGTACAATATGTAGATTATTTCTATAAACATAAAACACATAAATACCAGATTTAAATTAAAAAGGATACTATTGAATGTTTTGGGGTTTTTTTTCAGATCAAATAGAGAGAGAGAAATTGGGTTTAACATCCATTTGACACAAACTAGATCATTTCGGGACTAATATATTGATTCATTTTTATGTCAATAATTCACTTAGGGTCCTGTAGCAGTAGGACGAAACTGGAGCAAACCCATGAGGTTGGACAGATGACCCTACTCCTTGTCATGTACATCTGTGGGATTAAAACCAGGCCACTTGACTCAATGACAGACCTTATAATCTAAAGTGTATGCCTTACACCATTCGCCCGAACCCCCCACCCTCTCAAATCAATAAGCATTCTGTGACTAACATCTCAATTACCCAGTAACAATATTAATTGAGGTGGTTCTGTTCAACTGTTGTCATAAAGTAGTTTGTCACAATAATAGAAGCATAGCTTGCAGCTCATGATCTCCAATAGGATATATTTTATAAAAAAAAGTAAAGAAATTCAAAAAAGGTAGAGTAACAGTTATTCTGATAAAGATTTGAGAAAAGGTCATATATGAATTACTAACCTTACTCTGTTGATACAGAATTCATATATAAGATCCCGATTTCCTTCTGGTATACCGGCTTCTTTAGCAGCTGGTCGACATCCAATAATTAACCTTTCATATTCATCAGGTTCAAATAAATTAGGCACTTCACCCGAGTTCAATATATTATTGATGTCTTCTAAAAACTCTTCTACTACAATCTAAGAAATTACAAACAATGGTACTATAAACACGGCAACTAGACCTTGATAAAAATCCACAACGCAAATTGCTTTTATAATCTATCAACGTCAATCATTTTGTGCTTAACTTGGACAATTTGTTGGCATTTGAAACTTGATTCATCATTTCAGAACTTGGTAACTATTTATTTATTATAGATTCTAACCTACCTGAGTATCTGTAAAGAGGAATACTGTGTTTTTATTTTCTGCACCAGCTAAGAAATAAAGTTTCTTTAAATCTTCATGGAAGGCAGCGTAATCATATCCTCTACATAGTTCAATCTGTACACATTGATATCCACATATACTAGCTGCTAATCTGTTAACATAATATATAAATAATAATTCTAATATCTCAATTATCAATACCAGTGGAGGTGAATGGAGTTTAATGCTATATCAAACTAACATATGATAAGGTATGCAAAGAGGTTTAATTTTGTATTGTGTATGGACAGCAGTATTTGAAAATATTCTTCTTAGTTTGTAAGCGTGCATGCAGTATTCTTATTTTTTCTCATTTTTTTTTTGGACCTTGCCACTTTATCAAGAAGTTGAAGACATCAGTTTTTTTTTTGCAATAATAATGAAGTTTAAGATGAAATTTCAAAAATGTATTTGTTTATAATATATAAAGATATTTTACCTAGTAAGTGATTGTTTACCGGTACCACCGACACCAACTAACAGGGCGTTACCTCTCTCTTGTTCTATCATACGTACTATACGTGTTACATGTTCTATAGCATCCAAAAAAAATACCAACTTCATCTCTTTAGATGATTGTAAATTATAGTCATCTAAATACTGAAAATATCAACAAAATATAGCAATACAGTTATAATAGAGGTACTTGAAATTACAAATTTATATATTCAGTTTATCGGGGGAGACTCAATTTGCTTCAGCATTTACTACAACTCTATGCTTACAGCGTAGTGAATATTGAGGTTTGATTACCGGTATTGCAAATTTCAAAACTCCTATAACTTGTATCATCAAATATAACATCACCAAAATTGAAGAAATTAACCATACAATCCTGTTAGATTTTGTTTATAATGTGTCATAGAATGGCTTACATTTTCTAAAACTGTTTTAACTTTTGTTAATTCCAATTCTTCATACATTCTATCTTCTTTATTGGCTCCCATCTTCATAAAATCTCCAAATAATATAGGACTGGTTACAAAACTTTCTGGATCAATATTCTATAATAAATAAAAACATTTTTATCTCAGACCGTCCATGCAAATACGAAATGGGCGATGTTGCTCAAACCCATTATATTGTGTGTATATCAATAATTTTCCACATGATATCTTTGATCAAAAGTTACTCAAAATAAATACAATTATTTCAACTTACCTCGCCAAAATATTTATTTCCTAGTTCAGACATGATCTGATGGAAGTACATCTTATCTTCACTGTTAATAAGTCGATCATGGAATACACGTTGTGATTCGTGACAAAAGAGACGGAATATTTGTTTATTATCTCTAATAACACCAGGATCAGCTTGTAAAATACCTGTTATAATAATAATAAGTTTATATCAATTAAACATTCAACCTATGAAGGTGATTCCATAAATATTCACTGCTACTAATGAGTCTGAATGATTGATCCAGGCTAGGGCCAGCAGTAAAAAGAATTCACTTTATATTCTGTTTCTATAAGATACATGTAATTTGAGCTTTTTGATGGTTGGGGTGGGGTGGGGGAGCGGTAGCTTATTTCGAAAATACTAAACCCCAACAGACATTTAAAGGACATTTTAATTGACTAAGAGCAAAATTATGTCCACAAAATGCAATCATCAAAATATTATAGTTTAAAGTTTAGAGATATAAACTATAGATATTGAGAAAGTTGATTGAGAAGGATGTATTATATACAGTTTGTATTTATCAAAAGTGAGCAAAAGAGAATATTGTAATCATCAATTTATCTTACCAGGTAGTTGTAAAATAGATAAATTAATGTAGGCATGTCATTATTTTTGATTCACGGTCACCTTTTTTTTTGTTCATTTTTTAAATATAAATGTTGATGTCAATAAATTGAAAATAGAAGTTTAGAATACCTTGTACACATTTAGATAAATCTCTCAAGTTAAAAACATAATGTGATTTAGCTGGTGTAGGTAATAAATCTGTCTTCATTTTAAAATACATCTCTACAGCAGCTGATACAATAGCTTCTGTACTTTGTCGTACTGAATGGGGGAAATCCATTAAAAATCCAGACAAGATAGACTGAAAAAATGTACAAATAATGACGGGTTACAAAATACTTAGAAATGAGAAAATATGTTATCTTTAAAATAAGTCATTTACTATTTGTGTTTTAAACAGCCATATTAGATATATTTTAATGAATTAAATGAGTTAATTCTGTATGCAAGAAAAATCATGTGAATCTATGTAGTTGGCGATAAGTCTAGAGATTCCATGCTAAGCCAAGTGCCAGGATAGCCTTTTGATAAGTAATATTATATCATAGTGATTATAACAGCAGAACAATGCAATATCTTAAATGAGTTATGTAACCTGTTAAGCAAATCTTGCGATGACTTTTGGATAGATCAATATTTTGAGCTGAAACTTTCAGACAAGCCATTTGGGTTACTTCTTCAAATTTTAGCATTTAATTTGTATACACGAACTTACATTGATCAGTAGGTACCCAGTGAAATCTGGGACTGCTCCTTTAAGATCATGTGTAATAAATGATATGTGAAATATTCTAATATACTTACATTAAACATGATTTTAAGACTATGTTCTGATGGTGAGGGTATAGATAACATACTGAAGTGTCGCATCATACGAGGTGTAACTGGATTTCTACCACCACCAGGTGGAGCGCATGCAGCAGTTAATGTTACATCCTAATAAAAACAAACATTAATATTTTTCATCCGAAAGACTAATAGTTTTTCTGACAATTTTGGTTTCAGATAAAGACCTTTTGAAAAAAGCTATCAACCACACCCCCTTTGCAATCATAGTGCTGAGATATTTCATAAATTGTGAGGAACTCTTGGGAAAACACTTGCTCCTTGCTGGTGGCTATTTTAAGCTACGGTTAATCCTTAATTTTTTGGGAAAAGAGTAATGAATTTTTTCGTGAAGAAAAAAGGAATAAATTTTTTTTTTGTAAAATAAAATATCAAATTGAATCCTGGTGGAAACCCTTGCATGTATTACAAAAATATGTTATTAAATCAGTTTTAAGTTGATTAAAACATCCTTGCTGCAATAGAACAGACTTTTGAGGAATTGACTTAATTTTGGATAGTTTGAAAACATCAATCATACCACAATATCTTTCCAGAAGTTTTTCTCTCGATCATAGAAACCACCAAAATCTTGATATTGTCTCAATAATTCTATTGGTGGTTGTGAACCATAGGTATCTTGTTTAGGCATATTTAAATCATCTATTAATATTATTACTCTCTTTCCTTGTGGTGCACCTACAATAAATACAAACATTATAACTATATGAAGAACATTTGTAATAAAGCAAATCCGTAATAAAACATGGTGAATTATGGATTTCTGAACATCCAATAAATTTACAAAATGCCAGACATTATTCATCATAAAAACAAGTACAAGGGTACATACTGAGCATGATGTCATCATGGCCAGCGTGAATTAGCAACTTTTTGCGAAGAGTGTTGCTCTCCCAGTTCCTGGACCAAAAACAACCAACATTTATTCCCAATATTACATTAAATATTTTACCTAGTGCTGCCTTTCGACGTTTTTCTAATTTTCCTTCTATCATCTCCTGTGTTCTCTGACTACTGGTTTGAGCAGAAAAGTTGATAAATATAGGAACATAATTCTGTCTTTCTGCTATACCAGATAACAAACCTCTAGCAATAACAGACTGAAATTTAAAAAGTTTTTCATTAAAAACATGTATATGCTTTGATATTATTTTGAAACTAACAAAATGAGAGGAATGTCAGCAGAATCAAACTTGATTCCATCTGAAATGATCAGAAGAATATGAATATTGTTACTAACCTTTCCCACACCTGTTCCACCAGTATATAAAACTGACCGTCTGACAGAGATAAGCTTCTCTAATAAATATCCAAATCGTACAGTATCAACAGTGGGTACTAACATCTCAAAAAATGGAATCTCTTTATTATACTTAAACTGTGGTACAATCTTCTCCCATGAATCCAATCGTCGGGTTTCAAAATCCATATAACAACCCCATAGATCACCACCAGATGGTAGCTATAAATATATATATATTGTTTACAATTAAAAATGCTGATGGTCACATGAATTTTCGAATATATGATACATTAAAATGTACTATCAGTTCGATTATTTATTTAATAATGTTTTTGACTGTTTAATGTTTAATTAAAACGACAAAATCAAAATATCAATGGTGGATAGTCTTCTGGTTTGGGGTAAATGAGGCCTATCAAAAGATTTTAGTGAAGATTATAAATGACACTGGCTTGTTTTAACTATATCCTGTTTTTATCACATGATATCAAAAGTTAATACATTTTTAATTCATATCTTTGAACCATTTTTGGAAAAATATTTCTTTTTGGAGATTAAATTTTCACAATATTAAATGATGATCAAAAATCATAAATTTAATTATAGCAAAATCCTTAAGAAAAAAACCGAAAAACATCTTAATTCAAAACTTTAACAAAGACCATAAAATAATAATTAGAGATATCATTTTAAATAATATAAAATTTACCTTGGCATCACTATTATCTTCAAACTGATTTCTAACAAATGTATCAAAGGCATCCCAGTAATCCTCAGACAGATTACCACCAATAGACCACAGATAAGAAAATATAAATGTGGTACAAATGAGAGGATGTAGTTTGCTTGGATCTTGAGACAAATCTGGTCCACCACGAGGTGGAAACAATAACGATTCTATCAATTTACATACTGTCATCACTTTACTTATGTCAACCTGCAATAGAAACAAACAATTTTTAAAAAAATATTAAAATTTACAGGAATCAATGATCCATTTAGCGCCATTTGACTTAATGAAATGGACCAGAAGGATTGTGCCGGACAAAACCTTATTTCATGACTGACAATTGTCTGGGTCTAACCCATTAACAATAACAATGTTCTGGCCATGTGGAAAAATGGGCATGCTAATGGTGGTAAAATACTAGGATCTCAAAAAGATGTGAATGGAGTTTATGGTCACATCAAAACAATACTTTGGTCTTTTTAAGATTAATTTTTTTCACTGTGGTCTCATGCAAATATTGAGAAGAGAACATGATAGTTGTGTCGAGGGTTCCATTAAATGCATATGGATGGAACTCAAATTTCCTCACATGATTCAAAATGATTGCACAATACTTTCGGAAGCTGGAATCATGAAGATCTTCATGACCATTTTCAGAATCAATACTGGTTCAGACTAATAGAAAATCAAGTGCCCTGACTGCGCCACTACAGTGATTCCCTTGTATAATTGATATACAATTGATATTCCTTGTTAGGGTCCACCACTTCTGTTATACCACAGAACCTTGTGTTATATTCACTTATCTTAAGGAATTAAAACAATTACCTGTACAATAGTCTGTGTACATTTTCTATCGACAAATTTGAGACCATTATCAATATATCGCTTGAATAAATCTAATAGGTATTCTTGTGTTTCTTCCTTTAGTTTATGTTTCCAACTTTCTAACCATGTTAGAACAGACGGCATCCATCTTAGTTGATCAGCATCAATATACACCATACCACATCTACAAATAATCAACAAATTAGTATAAAATAGTACAGGCACTGGAAATAGATGATTGACATCTTCATTTCCAGTTGAAGCAACTCTTGTTAATTTGTATTTCAATCTGAACTTCTTAACTGTTTCTCTTAAAAGTTTTTGACTGCAAATACAAAACAGCTTAAAGTCTGTCTCAACAGCCGTGTTTATTATTTCTATTTAAGCTCAAACACATCATGAAATCACTAGTTCAGTATTACCATACCTGCTGACAGTAGCTGGTGATGCTACAGCTAAATCTTGTACTTCAAACAACATATGTATATATGGTGTTAATTTAATACGTTCACTATTAGCTAAACACAACATCTTATTATCATCTAATACAGTATTCATATTCTCTATCCATAAGGCATCTACTGGTCCATCACATATAATCCATTGATGATCTTCTGTTGTATTCTGTTTCAAGTATATAAATAATGATTGTATCACATCAAATCACATTATTATTATGCTACATATCAGTGGAGAATGGTTACTATTTCGCTTTGAAGAAAAAGCATTGGTTTCTAAATTAACTATTTAACTATCTCGAATCTGTTTTTAAATACTAGAATAATGTTTAGAAAATTGTAGATCAGCAATTGTTTTTTTTTTACTGCTCTCTAGTTTAAAGATCCCCATTAAGTTTTGGGGAAAAATGTCTTGTTTACAAGTGTTTTGATTCTAAATAGCCATTTTTTCTTTTTCTTCAAAACTAAAGAGTAAATAATGCCTAGTGCATAATGGGTCACAGTGGAGTGAGTTTTAAACTAGTCATAGATATGAAGTATCTTACAATAGTAGAATTATTAGTGAACTCAATGATTGGGTTAGATTTTAACACACCCAATCTAACAGGTGCAGATCTAGAGGTAGGATCTACCCCCCCCCCCCACTCTCACAGCTTAATTCGGCGGATGAAGGGCCCGAAATAGGAGGAAATGGATGGCGTCTACATCGCTCAAGTTTTCCAAAATTTCTGGAGGGAGGCCACCCAAATCTCCTGTTGATAGGCCTTATACAACACTTCAAAAAAGATCTAAAAGTTTTGGACCCTTCCCCCTTGCTGAAAATCCTGGATACGCCACTGTCTAAGGTTTAAATTTATGGAATATTTATAACACAATAATCGTACCTGAACACATTCTCTAACAGTTAAAGCCATCAATCCATCATGCCATTCTAATGTTAGTTTATTTATACCACCATATAGTTCATCCATAGTAATAGATTTAGGATTTAATACATAAGTATGTACAGGTTGATAAAATGAATTATCTAATCCCATACTGTGTAGATTTGTTAATGTCTCCGCTAATATCTGAAAATATCAACAATAGATTATTATCACTTGTCAGAAATCAATTACCTCACAAAATATCATTTGGTTCTAATAATTATTACTTGGTTCTAATAATTATAACTTGGTTCAAATAATTATAACTTGGTTCTAATAATTATAACTTGGTTCTAATAATTATAACTTGGTTCTAATAATTATAACTTGGTTCTAATATATACAATGTGTTTCTGATAAATATCACTTTGTTCTTATAAAGATAACATGGCTAAATAAAAAAAGAAACACAAAAAACTAAATTGAAACATGTTTGAAGATCTTAAAACATCACTCACTGTTTAAAATATATATTTACCTTATAGATGGTAGTTTTTCCTCCACCAGTTGGTCCAACCAACATAACACCATGTCTTACTATCATTGTTTCATAGAATTCTATAACTTTCTTAATCTGACTTTCTACATGTTGTAATTTCATACCAGTTTGTACTTTAACCATCTCCGTTTGTAAAATACCGTAATCATGTTCTGGTATCTCTACGTTTGGGAACAAATCAGATAAAATAGCCTGTAATAAAACATAAAAAAGTTTATAGATTGTGTTATGCATTTAGAATTTATTTATAATTCCTAATGCCTAAAAACCAATAATTCTCTGTCCATAATTTTTTCTCAATATTGCTGAAAGATCTGAAGATTGTGGCGGTAGGAAGTGTTTTGTCACTGAAGGTAATAACAAAGGCTCAGCAACCGAAAATAACTGATTTCTGCAAAATGAACAAGAACATGCAAAACTATAATTTTACACTACAATTGAATACATTAATATTATACACACCTGAAACAATATCGCATCTTGAGCTAAGAACTTAGGTAAGTTACTATCTCGTAAAGCTCTGATTAATACAACATCTTCTTGTTTATCAGGATTCTGTCTCTTTAAAGCACCAGCCATCACTAATACAGACTTTACAGCTCTCATACCAAAATCATAATGATCTTGTTGTGATAATTGTTCAGAACATAATTTATACATCTGGACCATCTTCTGGGCTAATGTTTTAGATGATTCAAAACCTTCTGAGTATAGAATAACCTCAGCAATCAATCCTGTTAAATATAAGACGAAATCAGACTGCCGTGGAAATAAAAACAAATTTGAAATTTTTGTATCACAAGTGCCGCTAAGCATAGAATTACAAAACAGTTTAACCCTTAACCGGTCGACGTCATTTTGACGTTATGACGTCAAGTGGTCAGGCTAAACAAAGGCTGACATGAAATATTTTGTGTGCCTATTTCAATCGACTAGTGTCGAATAATTATAAGTGATAGACTCTTGACACCAATAAAAAAGTTGCTGGGGATAAGTTAATCTATAATTTGCAAATCATTCTAAATCCTTTTCATCAGAAATATCGTCTTCAGAATCAGTGTCATCGATATAATCCGATTCCGAATAATTCATAAGTATTTCAACCACTTTGAGCGTCTTTAACGTTCCCGACACCGTTAATTTACGTTTTTCGTCAAAAAATGTTGAACAAAGACATGTTTTTCTCAATGCCCTTGACAAGACAAGGTCCTGTCTGACACGCATGCGTTGCCATATCAATTAAATACTCAAATGCAGCTTATAAAAAAGGTTCTTGCTGTGGTCGACTTTAGTCGACCGTGACCACTTAGCTGTATAACGTTGTGGTGACTATAGTCGACAATGACTGGTTAAGGGTTAATATATAAAATTGGTCTGACTTTGAAGTTGAAAACAGAAATCATTTTTTCAAAAAAAAAGGTGCATACATTATTTATTGTTTTCATACTTAAAATTTGATATCTGTTTAACTTTAATCAAAAACATGAGATATATACAAGAAATAATCTGAGGGCGTGTGAAAGAGAAATGTAGTTCAACATCCAATCAACACAAACTAAGTCATTTCAGGACTAACATGTTACAATTTTATTTCAATAATTTGTTTGCACAGGGGTGTTTAGCAGTGGGAGAATACCCATGAGGTTTATTAAGAGATAAAGGAAGTTGTTCTCACCATAATCTGGAACCATCATAGCTATAGGTCTAAATAGAGCTTTTAAATTATCTGGTAATTCTGTTCTACCAGCATAACCTGGGTTCATTGTAATAAATGCTGCACATGTATTTACTAGTTTGATTTCTCGTCCTTCAAACATGAAACGTGATAACTGAAAAAAAAAAAAATAAGTGTGTTATTTTCCATTTACATAATGTATAATCTCTGTTCAAAGCTGTGGCACATATAGGTCTGCAAAAGTAGAGATATTCAGGGCACCCGAATCCTGTACCTTCACAAAATCAAGATCAATTAAGCAAGAAGAATAAATGAAAGAATGAATGAAATCAGGTTTAACATTGTACTTTACTGCATCAACAAGGCAAATGAAGACAAGAGAAGCAAGAAGAATATTTTATTTAGAGTCAGTTTCATTAAAGAGAATGCTGTAGATATTTCTGTTACCTTTTGTGATTTAGCATTTCTAATGGTAATAAGTTGTTGAGCAATGACAGAGAGTACTTCAATATCTATACGGTTAAACTCATCAAAACAACACCAAGCTCCAGACTGAGCTAACCCAGAGAAAAATTTTCCCATCATCTGTAAAATATACAGAAACTTACAATAATACGAACACTTTCACTAAAACATATCATTTAACAAAAAAACAGGATAAAATAATAATACAAACACTTTTACTAAAAATTGTAATATTTACAAAATTATAACATCAAACTAGGGAATACAAACTCAACTCAAATAATCTATATCAAATAAATAAATTGACTCATAAATAGTCATTAAAATATTCTTCAATAAAACATGAATTTGCACTTGATAAAATAAGAGAAAACTTGTCGAAACATTGTGTTTTATGTATACAAACCAATGATTGTTCACCACATAAATTGTGTTGCATTTTTTAAAATATGAATTCTTTACCTTGTAATCTAGACCATCTGAACAGTTAAATACCACACATTGTTTAGCTAGTGATTTAGCTAAATCTTTCGTTGTTTCTGTTTTACCAGTACCAGCGGGACCAGCAGGTGCACCACCAAGATCTAACTGTAGAGCTCCCATTAAACATAAGTAACAACGATCCTATAAATATATAATATTAGTGAGTCAAACATGGCATTAGATGAAGACTTTAACAATCAAAATCGGAGCCACAGTGGCCCAGTGAGAAAGGCGGTGGCTCACAAAACAGGAGAACCTGGTTTCGTCTCCAGTGTTGAATGAGATAGTTCTTCGGGGTTTTTATGCGTGGTTTTCCCCTTGTGAGTGGTGCAGAATGCATGACCTCTCAAAAAAAACAGCTTTTAGATGTTCATATGGGTAATTCTGCTGTCGTGACATAATTTGCCACGTACTCATACCGCGCACTGCATATGACCATCTTTATGTCCAATAACGGATAATTAAATCAAGTGTGTATGACATACTTACAGTAAGAGGTGTAATAACCAATCGTGGTGAAGCTCCAAGATATTCATAACCATAATCATATACTGAGTTTGACATTCTTACTACACAATTATCTATATCATTATCCCAATAATATCGTAATTGTTTCTGCCATTCAAAACTGTTGATACTATCCACCTAAAGGGGAAAAATTCAACAGTAAAAAGTATTCCAAGCTGTGTACTCTTATAAAGTTATGAAGAAATCAGGATTATATTTGAAATGGATCGTAAACAATTGATTTTCTGATATAAATGTATTATTAATGAATCTAAAATCTACTGTACCTCAACTCGGACCATTTCTGTTATCATATCTCTACCATGTACATCTATAGTAATTAGAGCACATAGCACTGCTCTAGCTAATTTAGTTAATTCACCACGTACAATACAAGCTAACTTGTTTAAATCCTGGTAATTACAAAATAAAGAAATTAAATATAGATCTACATTTCATTTTGTTGAAGAATAATTTGACAACTATATATATTGTCTCTTCTAACACCCATTGTGCAGTCTCTCAGTACTTCTGTTAAACTAATATCTTGGTATTAAAATCTACAGTTGATGCAGAATAAAAATCTAAAAAATAATACACAGTTTACATTACATGATAAAATGATATACCTACCTTATAATTCTTTGTCTCAAATTCTTTCATTCCATCTTTTCTGTCATAATCACCTTCTAATATTTCATGTACATCACGACACCACATCATCTGACTAACCGTTAATATAACCTACAGCGAACATAAATACCATAATCTTCAAAAATAACCCTGTCTTAAAGCAACATTGCGTCATTTGAATTTTCACTAAATTTTTTAGTAAAATATCAAATTTCTCAAGGCTTAATCCACGCTAATATGTACTCGACTGATGATTTAACATTTAATTATTACATAGTGAGCAACAGAGATCAATATTTCATTTCAAGATAGCTCTGTAAATATTGAATTTTAATCATTTTTGGATCTTCATTCCTATTATAGATTCATTTTTCACAACTTTGTAGTGAGCAAGGGATTCCTATTGTGCTTCAATAACACAATGAAACTTTAATCTTAATATTCTATTTTATACTCTTTTCATCCAGTTATTCACTGAAAACCCTTTACTTTCATCAGCTGGATTATAAATATTATTCTATTTTATACCATTTTTATTCAGTTATTCACTGACAACCTTTAACTTTCATCAACTAGAGTATAAATTTACCTGAGATGCATGACTGACAACCCATTCGTCTCTTGGACGTCTTTCAAAATCTGTTATAGCTGCCTTTGTCAGTTTACGTAGATTAGAAAACATGCCTTCCTCTACTTTACCTAACCAATCTTCTACATTACCTCTAGCTTTCAAACCCTATAAATATATGATAAATATTCATTTAAACATATATAATGTAGATCATCTATTGTTACAGTCTTAAATGTCTGATTCTTCATTTACAGTTTATTGAACAGATTATTGATAATAATACAATTAAAACTTACTCGTCCTAGACTAACTTTCTCTCCTTCAGGTGATATCATAGCTAATATATCATTAGTATATTGTATTTCTTTCTCTTCACCTATAAATAAACCATAGCTTTCATTATACAATATAATACAAACACAAGTACTGAATCAATCAATAGATGAAAAATAATCAATTAGATAGAATTAAAGTTATTCCTTCCCAAAACATTGACAAACTAAACTGCTTTACATGCGCACAAAATGTTCAGTCAAGACATGTATGCCTAATCAATATCTTTAAAATACCAAGTTTGAACATTCTACCTTGATTAGAAGCAGAGTTATTATGTTCCAAAATCTCGACTTATTAAATTCCTTATCACACTGCTTAATCTGAATAAAAAATGTAGGATAGTTGAGTACATACCATCATCAGGACTAGCCTTGCCATCAGGTGATGATTGTTGTACACCAAACTCTAGTTTCTGTATAGCATCAAAACATTTACGTAGATGTGGTTGTACAGCCAGTGGATTACGGGTTTGAGCTAATATCTCCAGTAATTCATCATTTGATAAGAAATAGAATCTGTAAATACAATAATGCCATTCAACTGTTTCATTTCATCAAAACAAAGATGGACTTATAGTTGTTTTGGGTTCAACTAATTTTCCGAAAAGAGTGAAAAGTATATATTTCTTGGTATGTACATGGAACTAAAAATAACTTGTTTATGGTTTAAAAAAGTAAACATATTGAGATTTATTAATTGGTTAGGTTTTGCATTTATTTATACATCACAAACAAACCAATCTTACATTGTTCAATTCTTGGCTTTAACATTTTGGGATTGGAGGGGGTATTATATGAAATATTTATATTAAAAACTGATGTAAGATTTTGGTCTTACCTTGGGAACATAACTCTCTTTGATTCTAGATAAGCTTCTAGGCATTTCATAATCTGATCCAATAATGTGTTGTTATTCTGGAAAGTTTCCAATAAACCTTTACAATAAAAAACAATATACATGTATCAGCATTAAACAATATATTTTCCTTAAAATTGCAATCAGAGTGGCTCAATATGGTGCATGTTCAATAACAAAGAGGTCCTGGGTTCAATTAGGCTAAAAATTTCATGAGAAATATCGAGCATGATTTTGCTTGTCAGTGGTGAAGGATGGTGGGTCGTCTGGCAAGGAAAAGAATCTAGTTGTTTGGATGGGACACAAAAACAAGTTCCCATGCAAACCATTGGCAACACATTAAAATGATTTCCTCATACCAGTACACGCCTACCTTCATTAGCCTTCAGGTGCAAAAAAGAAACACATTAATTCCATCCTATTTCATTTTTTCTTTAAAATGAACGCTGTCTTGATTATTGCTAGTTTGATTTCACATGATTCTCAAGAACATTTACCTGGTTGAGTGGCAGCTCGAACAGCTAGTGGAACTTTATTCACTTTTCTCATTATATCTTTATAGGATTTATCAACTTGCATAAACATCTTCGCTTCTGCTGGTAGCTGACGTTGAATATCAGGAGCACTGAATATACTTTCTAAATATAACCAACTCCTCTGACATTGTAACCATTCATCCTAAAATAGTAAGTATTAATTATAACATTATTATCAGTAATATGCAACATTAATTCATACTGTAACGTTGACATGTCGGTGATATACACCCACGCTGTAGCCATTTCCCTTTAATGTTATTTGGAGCATATTGCCTTATTATAGTTAGGTCCCAGTGTACCACAAACATCTCAAAGATAACAATGTGCTAATAAGAAGACTGGATATAAGGCACCTGTCACAGACATTGTGAGAAACAATTCAGGGATTGTCATGGTTCAATTCCTCTGTTTGGCACAGGTCAGGATAACAACAGAAACTCCAACTAGCTTTACCCATCCCAACCCCATATGAGTAGTAATTTTGAAGATAAAAAAAAACTTACCAATGTTTTATCAAATAGATCCAACTGTTTAACCCAATCATCAACACGTGATTTAATAGGTCCAACATGCCGTGAACTAGCTATAGTAGCTATATTAATATTACTATCATCTAATAACTGTTGTATATCATCAGTACCACCTAATATAAATACATCTTTAGAATCTTTGTGTGGTAGAACCATAAACTCTGTCGACTTCCATCCATCTTCAACCTACAACAAATAGAGATACGGAATATGAAAACACGCTGAACTCCCAAAGACGAAAAAATGTGCAAATCTGGGTTCCATCCTTTTCCACTGTTATATATAAATGTTTGACTGAAAGTTCATTTACTAAAATGATGAAATAAGCATGTTTACAGAAGTATGTCAAATAATATTGGTTTGTCTTGAAGGTTTGGCCAGAATTTAACCCATTTCTGGATAACAATTATACAAAATTCGAAAACATATATAATGTACCTTTTTCAATATTCCCTCCAAGCTGGCTTCAGATGAGGCCTGTCCTGATATTTCTTGTAATTCTTCAGCATATTTAAAGGCATGGATCTCTGATAGTTTACCCAATGTAAGAGGTTCCTCTGATGAGAATTTATAATCCAGAATAGTTTCTATAGATTCCCAGTGACGTTGTTTAAGGGATGGGTTACGGAGATCAGTGATGACTGGCATCTGGAAAAAAAATCAAAGACTTGGCTATGAACGTGAACAGTGTTAAATAAACAAACTATCTGGAATTAATTCACAATAATCAAATTTTCACACCTCATGTAAAAAAGTAAAAAAGAAAATTATTATCATAAACAAATATTTACCCTCTCTCTCATAACTTCTACTTTCCCTTTGAGCTTAGGTACAACTCCATTAGGAGGAAGACCTTTTTCTAATTGAAGGACAGACTTAGAATATTTAGTGGTGGTTGTATTCATCTGTTCAGGATCTAGCTGCTCAAATGGCGCCTGAAATTAATAAAAAAAATAAAAAAATGACAGTATTGCAAGAAAATATATAAAGATAAATATCTATCGATTCTATTTTTGTTTAACAATACTAGTGTTACACTCACAAATTCTTTCAATTTATACACATATATAAACTACACAATTACCATTTATACAAAATACACCATTATCATTACACAATTATATATAAACTACACCATTACCATTATATGTACATATTTATATATATAAACCACACCATCATTATTTCATATTAAGAATAGTTATATACCTCTGTCCATTCCTGTAACAGATTATCCCACTCATCTATATCATTCCAAAGCTGCTCCTTCAACTTGAGCTCAGCATGTGCTTCTTCTAATGCATCAAACTTAGTAACCTCAACCTATAATTGTATCATCAAATATTGTATTCCATATATATAGCTAGAGGGATAATATCTCAATATATAAATACATATTCTTTTCTTTGTTTTAGTTATAACATGAGGCAGAATTCAATTAGGACAACACAATTCAAACAGACATAACATTTAGAACATATCTATGACCTTTATGAGTATCTCAACAGAATTTTTATTAATAATTTAATACAAATATAGTTTCGCAATCTTAATAGGACGAATCCGTGTCCTCAATAGATTTGACCAATTGATTATAGAAGTGTGTTATTATTACGGATGAAAATGGACATACAGGCGGCTAATGAGAAACAAACAATTATATAATTTATGTATCTAATCATTCGCATGTTTTTACCCACCTTGAAGTTTTTCTGATATGATTTATAAGTAAAGGCACTTTTCTGTAAATCATCCATCTGGTTCAATAATTTCTTTAATAAACCTTGAACCTTCTCTTTATCAGCATTAGGATCTAATATCATAGGATTCTATAAAAAAGACATAGAGAAAGACAACTAATTAAGCATTGGTCATAGGTATAATTTTACTATTATTTCCAAAACCAGTAAAAAAGTCAATTGATAGAGAGAATGCGAGTTTAGCGTCCACTTAACACAAACTAGGTCATTTCTGGACTAACATATGGTCCAGTTTTTCACATGCACACAGGAATCTTTTGAAGTGGGAGGAAACCAAAGGACCTGATGAAACCCACAAGATAGGGCAGGTAACCTTACTCCTTGTAAAATACAAGTGTTAGATCAAAACCGTTCAACTTGACTCAGTGATGGACCTTATGAACTAAAGTGCATGTTAGATCATTTGACCACCCAACCAGCAAGACAAATATTGATCAAGTACTGATTCAATTTACCTGTGCTTCTTGTTTAACTTCTTTAACATCTTTAGCTAATTCTGCAATATCTTTATCTAGATGTGAACAGAATTTATCTATGTTGGCATCTCTCTCTGTTAATGCTTTATCTATAGCATTTCTCACATTTGTTATTGATGGTCCAAGTGTCTGAAAACAAAATGTTAGGTATAGTATTATGGTAATGAAAATTTATCACCTAGTACATCGAAAAGCTTTCACTACAAAATCTTGCCAGTGATCACATGTGCAGTCTGGACAATAATGTAAACTTCTGTTTCTGATATATCTGGATGTATGTGCAACTGAAAGAAGTAATCTTAGTTTTGTGTTTTATATACTGGAGTGTGGACATGTAATTGATGTGTAATCGAAAATGATAATCTGAAAATAAATATTGACTAACCTGATAAACAGCAAAATCTTCTGGTGGTGTTGGTACTGTATACTGATCTATAAGTTCATACATATCTTTTACTATCATAGCTTCCTTCTCTAATGGATCAATCTATAATAAATTCAAAAAATAAAATCTCCTTTTCAAAACTCACTTGATAGAAAACAGTAACAAAACAAAACTTATCAAATAAATGAATCCCCAATGTTCCAAATGGCTTGAGTACATTATGCATTTATGCTCTATAAATGAAGGCCCAATGTTTCAAATGTCTTGAGCACATTATGATGTACTATAAATGGAGCCCCAATGTTTCAAATACATTATGTCTACGTTCTATCAATAATTTCTAGCTTACTTAATCAATACTAATTATGAATAACTTACTCTGACTTGTATTTCATCAAGGAATGTGAGATTTTTAACAAACTCTATGGTAGTGGTTGGTCCTATCTCTAGTTTAAACTGACCATCCTGTAACTCGGCTATAAGCCGATCCACTTCCTTACGAGCCTTAACTGGTAATAAGTTATTTATTACCTAAAAATACACAAATAAATATCTTGCTCTCAAATATACATATTTGGAATTCAGAAATCATAAAATTAACATTAAATACATTATTCATTTTCAATAATAATTCTTGTTTACAATCTCTGAAATACGGTTTTATTAATTATGATGAGCATACATTATAAAGCAGTAAAACAAATGAACAATCTGATTAAAACACAGATCCTATTTCGTTTTGGTTTTTTATAGTTCAAAATTTCGTTTTACTTGTCTTTACACTAGGATCTGTTACGGCAAGTTCTCGCTGTGCCATGCACCGAACTGTGGTATAAACCAGTAGAAATGTCAACGCTGAGTGATTAATCAATGTCTGACGTTGTACGACCCCTGCCACGGCCTTACAGTACAACTTGTCAGATCTTCATGTAGTGTAGGCCATTGGAAGTATAAAAAAACGAAAGAAACGAGATATAGATCTGTATTTTAATCAGATTGACAAATGAATAAAATAACTTACATCAAGACATCGCAGGGGAGAGGGGATGAGTAAACTTCTCATTTTGACCACATCCACTAATAACATTCCAATAGGTCGTTTCTCTACGATACCTTCAGCCATATTGTGTTGTTTATGATACTTCTCTAAATGTTTGGCAAAGAACGACACCTCTGAAAACAGAAAAACAAAACGTTATGAGAGGGAGTTATCGAAACTAAGAATCAGATGTTCTGTAATTTTCTTGTATGGACAATAAATGTAAATGTAAATGCTTGCTAATACTTACCATGTTCTTCTCTCTTCACAGCTTCCAAGTCCATATTCTCATTTTCACGGAAAAATTCTCGGAATGGTTCAAACGTATCAGCATACTGACTAGCTGCATTAAATGCCGCAAAGATAGCATCCTGAAATATTTAATTAACAATCATAAATTAGAGACAAAAAATAACATGTTGTTCAAATTTAAACTTTTCTTTCACATAATACTGTTTATATCAGTAACGATATATAAAAATATGTTATCTTAATTGTAAAGCTTCATACTATAAATAGTTTATGTATTCAGTCAATTAGGAAGAAAACGTGTCAGTTCAAGCTATATTAAACACATACCCGGATGTTATGTATAATTGTCTGTAAATGTTTATCATCTTCAAACATGGTGGAAAGACTTGGTCCATCACCAACTGCTTTCTCTTCAAACTTATTATTAATAATAGGTCTAGTAAATGCATCAAAATAAGAATCTGGCACCAAGTTCTGTACACTAAGTACTGCATCCTGAAATCTTTTAATTACTTCTGCTATACCGTCCTGGAAATCATCCACGTCTGGTGAAAACAATAATTGTGCGGTTTCTAGAACAAATTCTGTTATAAATAAGGGAGGTAACTTCGGTACTTCATCTTCTTCATCCTATTGAATGGAAGTAAAACATTTCAATCCTTTGTCAAGTTGCATTTGAAGAATTTGCTATTTCATTGCTTGATATGCTAACGTGCATAATCTTTAGTCACTTTTTAAGAATTATAACTGTCCAGGTATCATAAATATTAATAGGCACAGTATTATTAAGTAAAAACAACTTAAAGCAGGTAAACAGCCTTTATTCTTACCTTATTATCGTCACCCTCAGGTTTAGCTGGAGGTGTTTCAACCTCTTTACCTTGTATTTGAGCTAAAGTAGGTGTATTTTGTAACTGTTCTGTTAAATAGTTCAGTAATGTTGATACAGAGTTGACAGCCAACACATGCATAGTGTTAACTATCAAATAGTCAGCAAGTCGAATGAAACTGGAAAAACATAAAACACAGAAAGTTAATGTTATTCTCATGCTATGATAACAACAGAAAGACAAAGATTAACAATTGGTAAATTTTTACCAGCCCACTACCCAATCACACAACCCCATGTATATTGAGTTTTTTATTATTATTATTATAAAGATACATTATAAATCAACATGATACATACCACATAAGTCTTTTACATTCAGCTCGTTTATTAGCTTGATCTGTATAATTCATTTTATCTGGTGCTTCACCATAGATATCCATATCATAGTTACTCTGCATTAAATAACTAGAGGCTGTACCTGGCATATCACCTGATTATATAAACATTAAAGACATTTAAACAAAACAAAAAGATATACAAAACCTGGACTTGTAACAAATTTGCACAGATAACACTCAATTTATAATATTTACAAAAAGATAGAATTGTTGTAAAAGTTAAATTTTTTAATGTGAACATATACATTTCATAAAATTATATTTGATAAACATATAGTTATTTTTTTTAGGATGTTAATAAAGATTTAACTAACCATATAAACCTGGGCTTTCTATACCGTCATAATAATAATCATCAGGAGTAAATCCTGCCTCTAATAATGCTGTTCTACATGCACTACGTACAACTTCTTTAACTAATTCACGGAAATCTTGTAATCTTCCAGCAACCTGATATAACAAACGGCATAAAATTACCTTTTAGATATCAGAGTCAATCAATAAAAGAGTGAGAGAGAAATGGGGTTTAATGTCCACTCGCCACAAACTAGGTCATTTCGGGACTAACATATGGTTCAATTTTATTTCAATCATTTGCTGTGGGAGGAAACTAGAGTACCCGGAGAAAAGCTACGAGGTTGAACAGGCGACCCAACTCCTTGTCAGGTACAATCGGGGAATCGAAACCACGCCAGTTGACTCAATGACAGACCTTATGATACAACGCACATGCGCTAACCATTCAGCTATCCACCCCACCCCGGCTCTAACCAATAAAGTAAAACTTATATATTTTATTAAATAAGAGACTATTTTATTTGTACTTGAAATAAATGTGTTTTGGAAGTTTTACTTACATCATTAAGTTGATTAAACTGGGCCTCTCTAAAGTCTGATAAAGTGTAAGTATGATCTTTATCTATCTGACATAGTCCCATCTCACTGATACGATGACACATCTCTCGCACATTTAATAATGCTGGTCGTAATGACTGAAATATCAAATAGAAACAAACAAATATAATACTATTATAAGTTACAGATCTAAGGGAGAGAATGCTGCTATTGAAACTATTTCTAACTTCATTAACAGTAAAATAAATCATGTGATACTTACAGCATTAACAATAAATAAGTTAGAATTAAGAGATCTTTTACAGCCTTGAATTTTCTTTGTTCGCACATTTTTACGCCAAACACTAAATGCTTTCCATTTTCTAAATAGAGCAAATGCTGGTATCTGAAATTGAAAATCAATACTGGTAATATTACTGGGATTCACATATATGATAGATTATTTTCTATACCTACTTTATAATTGACTAAAAATTTCAATAAAATAAAAAAAATGATATAGTTACATTCAAAGAATTTGTCTATGTTTATCATAAGATAAGTTATAATGTAAGCATTATATGGATGTATGCAAACACACCTTTGTCAGTTTTTGAAAGTAATTAACTTCTTGCTCCCATCTTGATAAAGTTATAAATTCTGTTTCATCATCCGATCTCATTCTAGTTACACCCTTCTTACTTATTGTACAATGATCAGATTTATTTACATGTTCATGATTTACAACTCTACAAATAAAAAAAATACAACATAAACATCCTTTAACCCCAAAAATAATAAATCAATGTATGCTTTATCATTTTATATAGAACATTCATGCAAAATAAAGTAGAAGGCAGCAGCGATCATTGTGTTACACATTTAACACTATGGTTAACAATTAGTATGGTTTATTACATTGTTAAATTTAACACATGTATCAATCATATCAAAACTAAATTTTTCATTTTATTTATTTGTGTTTAAATGATAGCTAATGACTTGTGAAATCTTGTTGAAATGTTGCAGTGTAATAAACCATAGTTATTAATTGTTATCCATAAGTTCCAATTACAAAATATCATTCAAAGAATACATGGTGTTGTGTTACAGAAAAGATTATATAATTTTGATCACATACAATTACAGATATACTAATTAAGCAATTACCAATTGTTGCCATTTATTTTTGATTAAAATTAAAACTTACTTTAGATTGTAATAGTGTGAATTGACAGATGATTTTGGTACAGCTGGACTAAGATATAAAAATCCAACATTATTTTTGGTTTTTATGATGTTGATTATTTTATGAGGATCTTTTAAACCTTCATATGTTTCAGCAACTGGAAAAAACAAATTAAATATTTATTACACATAGGTAAGCTTTTATAACTTAAAATATACAAAACATTGATTTTTAATATTTTATTATTTACCTAAAGATCTTTTAATAATATTGCTCCTGAGAGTACATCTGACTTGTTAGAAGTTCACCAACCAATACTGGGATCGAACCAGGTACGTATTGGTTAGTGAGCATGCACCTCTCTTACTGTGCCACCCACAAAACACACCATATAAAAATCAAAAAGTGATTATAATAAAAAAAAGTATTGTTAATTGTTACAAAGGCAACAAAAATAAAACTGAAACTTACATTTTGGTTTTGTAGAAGCTGGAACTGAAGCTTTAGCAGCATGTGTTGCAGCCTGTATTTTAACAGTTGTAGGTGGTGTCGGTATTCTAGGTATAACTGGTTCCTATTACACAATTCATGAAAAATTATTTATCAGTGATCAGTTTTGCTCATACTTTCAATTAATTTTTTTATTTTTTTCATAGACGCAATATTCTGATATGGGTTTCCTGTACTCTTACCTAAATTGGATATTCTGTACGTAATGTTTTTGTCCAAGATAAAGTTTGGCTATACACATTATTTTTGGATTTTGGCAAAAAAGGATACTAACATATTTCCTAGTTGGTGTAACTGGTAGAGATTAGTTATGAGAATTAATATATGTTATTCTGGCAAAACTAGTCGGTTTAAAATCACTAGGTAATGGTGGTAATAACCTAGGTTTAAGATCACTAGGTAATTGTGGTAAAACTAACCAGTCTGAGATCACTAGTTAATTGTAGTAAAAAAACTAAACGTTTTTAAGATCACTAAGTAATTGTGGTAAAACTAACCTGTTTAAGCTTAAGATCACTAGGTAATTCTGGTAAAGGTGAACAAGTACCATCATGTCTATCTAAAGGATCTACTGAACCTGATCTTCGTAGTTTTTTAGCAGCTGAAGATTCGTCCTTAAAAGTGAATCCAGAAGCTTCCAATGCTTCTCTATTTTTCTTCTGTATATAACTAGGTTGATTTTTTTCCTGGTATCTCTGTAGACTAGGCTTTAATTGAATGAACATTTCAAAAATATAATGAATGGCAGCAAAGCATAGCGATGTTTTAGATTTCATATTGTATCGATAGACAGTTTATATCGTTGAGACAGTATAACTGAATATCATTGAGAATGAGACTGTCACAGTACATTTCATTTTAACAGTATTTTAGATTTCATATTGTTAAATAGTATTGACATTGTTTAAAACTGTATACAGATCAACAAGGGCACAAGTATAATTGTCTACAACCATTGATCAGATTTTAATGTCAATTTATAAAACAAGAGTGGGCAATGATGGAATTCATTTTAAATTATTCTTTTTATCTCCTACCTTACATAATGATATTAGACTAGGCACCACACAGCATCACATAGATTCATTTATACTTACCAATGGCTCTATTTTTGGAGCTATAGGTATATTCATTCTCCTAGCCTGACTCCGAGTTACGCCTTTGAAATTTAAAGCTCTGGTATTCACTGAGGCCTGTTGAGGTGCATAGGAGTACAGCCTTGCCTTAAGTTTTGCTGCATCGATGATAGGCAGTTCTTTTACATTTCCATCCCTGGTAGAATCATTCATGTTGTGATCAATAATAAATTGATTATTTATACTCTCCCGTGAGCTGATCGGGTTATCAGTAGCCATTTTACCACCATCTGTAAGAACATAAAAAGATTTCCTGTAAATATTTTATAGTTACATGTCATAAACAATTCTCATATATTGAAATGTTACAAAAGTTTACAAGATTCTGGAGTCTTGAACAATTCTACAATGCTTGGTACTTAAGTTTTAATAGATTTCTGGCCAATTCTCATCAGGCTTCTTTTGACTTTAAAAGTTAATACATCATATTCAAATACTTTTTCTTACAATTTTAATAGCCATTTTACAAACACCTTGTGCAGACAAGCCATCAAAAATGTCATATTTGTCATTTGAAATCAACCTCCATAGAATTATATCAGTCAAAATTAGCACCAGTACTAATTTAATGTCAAAATTAACTTATTAAAATATTTGGTTTTTAGTCCTAGTCATCATTCATGTGATTGTGCTGGACTCTATTTCCCCATTATGTAACATGAATTGGCTGATTTTCATACGAAATTTAGTTATACAGTAGTAGTACTGGTATCAAATTTTAATATCTTGCATTTATTTTTGCTATACTTCTGTTAAAGCTGTATGTAAGCTAGGCTTTACCATACACCACTTCATTTATAAAAGTCCCAGAAGAGGGTAGAGAGAGAGAGAGAGAGAGGGGGGGGGGGGGGAGGTAATTTCAGGACTAACATAAAATATGGTTTAATTTTATTTCAAGCAGTGGGAGGAAACCGGAGAACCCAGAGAAAACCCACGAGGATGGAAAGGTGACCCTACTCCATGTTACGTACAACTGGGGAATTGAAACCACGCCAGTTGACTCAATGACAGGCCTTATGATACAACACACACACTCTGACCATTCGACCCACCTCACCCCCCACAGAGGGCTGAAGATAACCTAGAGTTGTCGCTCCAGGCACAGACTACCAGCATAAGCTTATACAAAAAAGTACAACAAACAATTTCTAGATATATCATAAACAAAATTTTAATAATATGAATTATAATGATTGTTTGTAGTAATAATAAATCTTTGTAGTAATAATAAATCTACAGTGTTTTGCTTTTATTTTTTGTTAGCAATCTGAGGATGAAGCCTATTTTTTTAAGCCTGATACAAAATATGTCCTTCCATTCCCAACTTTAGCCGAAATAAGCTGGTAATTAAAACATCAAAAATATCAATGTTTTTATTTTATAGAATAATATGTACAGTTGACTAATTTTAGGGTGACCCACCATAAATAAATATCTCCAAATATCTCGACAATTACGCCACAATATTTATATACAAAGCCTCAAATCAGTTTCATACAATTATAGTCACTAAATAAACGATCATGTTGTACTTAATAAGCTATGACCATTAATCATAAGTTCCTTGAATGACATTTAGAAGTAGAGGTATAATATTCATAATAACACAACTTTATGGATTTACTACTTCTTGGTTTATTACATGCAACGTTTCAATACTCTTACAGGTATCTTTATCAAGCAATGAAAACCATTAATCATCTATAAATAAAAGACTGAAAACTGGTTCCAAGTGTCGTCCATAACATCCAGACACTTTTGAGTAAAAGATAGGTTACGTGCTCATGTTTTTAAATTAGTCTCGCTTAACCAGTCTATCGACCATTCTACGTCTGATTGACAGGTCGGGATAATCAAGACTACTTTTTTACGAAACATAACAGAAAGCTAGAACAAGAAATTGAATTTAGAAATAAGCACTTTAGCCAACTCAACAATTGTTTTAAGAAATTTGTAAAAGTAAAAGGAAACTACTGCTAGTATCATGTTCCTGCTAAAGAAAGTGATTCAGACATAGTATTTGTACTAAAACAAAAGATGCCGCTCTTAACGGTACAGTTAATGATAAAGCAATTTAAAAAATAAAACAAACGTAATTTCTAAAGCTGCTGTAATAACCAAGAAGCTAAATTTTACTGCTATTCAAAATCGTCAACAATAGATTTTTTACGGCTGTAAAAGTTGATATATTTGTAGAGAATTGCACGTGCCATGGCTATTTATCGACTCAAAGAGTGTGCGGGGTAGTCAGAAATCAGTTCGAGACACGCAACTGAAGCGTGCACATTTAACCGTGTCGAGACCAACTTTCTGTAGAGTGCACGGGTCACCCTACTTATTTACAGAAGTTGATTTTTTATAAACATAACTATTTTGAAGATTACAAATAAATTGTTTAACAACTGCGTAATAAATAGCTTTCTATTTCATATTCTGTTACCTTAATAAAACAAGTATTCGATAAATCAAAAATATTCAATCCCTGTAAGTACCTGTAAGTACCATGTAATGTATCTTATTTGAATACCGAAACACAATTTTCTGGTAGGCCTACATCATACATGTATATCAGCCTCACGATGTAGTAAATCACAGCAAATCAAAAATTATTACCAATCGAAGAAAGTCTCCAAAGCTAGACCTACCGTAGTTCCGTAGTCTTTAAACTGATAAACTTAACTGCGTCTATCCCTATATTAATATTATAGTATTTCTTGTTCAAAAATAAAATTGACATTTAACATACTATTTACATACATGTAACATTGATTATCTTCGAACTGTAGCATAGCAGTTTTTGAGTATAAACAGTTAAAACTGTGCATTTATCACTCAATTAACGCCTTACCTATTAATTAATTAGATCACTTAGTTTATCTTCTCTCGGGTTTAGTTCTTAGCAAGTTTACATGAAATATTCATGACTTCAGCAATGTTAACACGCAACTAACCCGCCATTTTGGTTTGGTTCGTACCTAAGGCAACACGGTGTTTTACGGACATTTACGGAAATTTATGGATTAAAAAATGTTAATTTGTTTTATTATTTAATCACAAACAATGAAAAGAAATACCGTCTTTATGTTATCAGAAACCAAACTCTTTCATAATAAAAATGAAAAGAAAAATTCGTTGAATAATACTCTCGCGGAGTAAGAGATGTGAATATTTTCCTCTTTGGTCATCCAGCCGTAGAAAACTTCCGCCGTTAAAATTTCGAGTCGACCCTAAGTCCAAAACAAATAGTCAGTCGAATAAACCGGTCGATGGCTTATTAAAATTTTGGAATCGTTTGTAATCTGTATAAGTTAAAGAAAAAACGCACTAATTCCAATATCTTTTATCATTGTTTTTGTTTATTTTTTACGTCCCCTCATGTTCAAATTTGATTGTTCAAATTAAAACTTTAAGGTGTTATCTTAGTTATTGCCACCGCGGCTTAATAAAGTCATGCTTGACTTTTTCCCTCATCCCCATATGCCCCCATCTTTTAAGTGCACGCCAATGTGTACACGGGACCTCGGTTTTTCGTCCCATCCGAACGACTAGACATCTGTCCTTGTCCACCTCCAAAAGAATAGAGTCCCTATATATGATATGTTGGGTTAGGGGGGAGATGGGGATGAGGTATTTGACATTATCATGTGGCCTCGTCCAGTCGATAAAATCAGTCAGTTAGTTCAGTCGAATAATCCAGTCGAATAAACCAGTCGAATAATTCAGTCGAAAAGTTCAGTCGAATAAACCAGTCGAATAGTTCAGTCGAATACTTCAGTCGAATAATTCAGTCGAATAAACAAGTCGCTCAATATTAAGCAGCGGTGGCAGTGGGCTAAGATGATATGGTAGCAAATCATGCTCTTAGACATAGCTGAAGGAGCCGGGGCATGGGGTAGAGACCGGGGGGCTTCCCAACTAGTTTCAAGAAATGAAAAGAAATGAAATGGGGTTTTAACGCCCTACTGTTCTGCTTGGAACTGGGCTAATGAAGACGGGCATACGCCATACACTGTGCGATGAGGGAAATTTTGCCCGGACAGCGGCACTACGGCCTACTCTTATATCGAATTCCATCTGTCAAGGGATCTTTTACGACCACGTCAATGTGGACACGGGACCTCGGTTTTTCGTCCCATCCGAACGACTAGACAGCTGTCCTTGTCCGCCTCGAAAAGAATAGAGTCCCTATATATGATATGAACGAAGAAAGGGGATGGGGTGGGGCGGGGGTGGGGGGGATGAGGTATTTGACATTTTCATGTGGCCTCGTCCAGTCGATAAAACCAGTCAGTTAGTTCAGTCGAATAATCCAGTCGAATAAACCAGTCGAATAATTCAGTCGAAAAGTTCAGTCGAATAAACCAGTCGAATAATTCAGTCGAATAATTCAGTCGAATAATCCAGTCGAATAAACAAGTCGCTCAATATTAAGCAGCGGTGGCAGCGGGCTAAGATAATATAGTAGCAAATCATGCTCGTAGCCATAGCTGAAGGAGCCGGGGGCATGGGGTAGGGACCGGGGGGCTTCCCAACTAGTTTCAAGAAATGAAAAGAAATGAAATGGGGTTTTAACGTCCTACTGTTCTGCTTGGAACTGGGCTAATGAAGACGGGCAGACGCCATACACTGTGCGATGAGGGAAATTTTGCCCGGACAGCGGCACTACGGCCTACTCTTATATCGAATTCCATCTGTCAAAGGGATCTTTTACATCCACTCCAATGTATACACGGGACCTCGGTTTTTCGTCCCATCCGAAAGACTAGACAGCTGTCCTTGTCCGCCTCGAAAAGAATAGAGTCCCTATATATGATATAAACGAAGAAAGGGGATGGGGTGGGGCGGGGGTGGGGGGGGGATGAGGTATTTGATATTTTCATGTGGCCTCGTCAAGTCGATAAAACCAGTCAGTTAGTTCAGTCGAATAATCCAGTCGAATAAACCAGTCGAAAAGTTCAGTCGAATAAACCAGTCGAATAATTCAGTCGAATAAACAAGTCGCTCAATATTAAGCAGCGGTGGCAGCGGGCTAAGATAATATAGTAGCAAATCATGCTCGTAGCCATAGCTGAAGGAGCCGGGGGCATGGGGTAGGGACCGGGGGGCTTCCCAACTAGTTTCAAGAAATGAAAAGAAATGAAATGGGGTTTAACGTCCTTCTGTTCTGCTTGGAACTGGGCTAATGAAGACGGGCAGACGCCATACAGTGTGCGATGAGGGAAATTTTGCCCGGACAGCGGCACTACGGCCTACTCTTATATCGAATTCCATCTGTCAAAGGGATCTTTTACGTCCACTCCAATGTAGACACGGGACCTCGGTTTTTCGTCCCATCCGAACGACTAGACAGCTGTCCTTGTCCGCCTCGAAAAGAATAGAGTCCCTATATATGATATGAACGAAGAAAGGGGATGGGGTGGGGCGGGGGGGATGAGGTATTTGACATTTTCATGTGGCCTCGTCCAGTCGATAAAATCAGTCAGTTAGTTCAGTCGAATAATCCAGTCGAATAAACCAGTCGAATAATTCAGTCGAAAAGTTCAGTCGAATAAACCAGTCGAATAGTTCAGTCGAATACTTCAGTCGAATAGTTCAGTCGAATAATCCAGTCGAATAATTCAGTCGAATAAACAAGTCGCTCAATATTAAGCAGCGGTGGCAGTGGGCTAAGATGATATGGTAGCAAATCATGCTCTTAGACATAGCTGAAGGAGCCGGGGCATGGGGTAGAGACCGGGGGGCTTCCCAATTAGTTTCAAGAAATGAAAAGAAATGAAATGGGGTTTTAACGTCCTACTGTTCTGCTTGGAACTGGGCTAATGAAGACGGGCATACGCCATACACTGTGCGATGAGGGAAATTTTGCCCGGACAGCGGCACTACGGCGTACTCTTATATCGAATTCCATCTGTCAAGGGATCTTTTACGTCCACGCCAATGTGCACACGGGACCTCGGTTTTTCGTCCCATCCGAACGACTAGACAGCTGTCCTTGTCCGCCTCGAAAAGAATAGAGTCCCTATATATGATATGAACTAAGAAAGGGGATGGGGTGGGGCGGGGGTGGGGGGGATGAGGTATTTGACATTTTCATGTGGCCTCGTCAAGTCGATAAAATCAGTCAGTTAGTTCAGTCGAATAATCCAGTCGAATAAACCAGTCGAATAATTCAGTCGAAAAGTTCAGTCGAATAAACCAGTCGAATAGTTCAGTCGAATACTTCAGTCGAATAGTTCAGTAGAATAATTCAGTCGAATAAACAAGTCGCTCAATATTAAGCAGCGGTGGCAGTGGGCTAAGATGATATGGTAGCAAATCATGCTCTTAGACATAGCTGAAGGAGCCGGGGCATGGGGTAGAGACCGGGGGGCTTCCCAACTAGTTTCAAGAAATGAAAAGAAATGAAATGGAGTTTTAACGTCCTACTGTTCTGCTTGGAACTGGGCGAATGAAGACGGGCATACGCCATACACTGTGCTATGAGGGAAATTTTGCCCGGACAGCGGCACTACGGCCTACTCTTATATCGAATTCCATCTGTCAAAGGGATCTTTTACGTCCACGCGAATGTGGACACGGGACCTCGGTTTTTCGTCCCATCCGAACGACTAGACAGCTGTCCTTGTCCGCCTCGAAAAGAATAGAGTCCCTATATATGATATGAACGAAGAAAGAGGATGGGGTGGGGCGGGGGGGGGATGAGGTTTTTGACATTTTCATGTGGCCTCGTCCAGTCGATAAAATCAGTCAGTTAGTTCAGTCGAATAATCCAGTCGAATAAACCAGTCGAAAAGTTCAGTCGAATACTTCAGTCGAATAGTTCAGTCGAATAATCCAGTCGAATAATTCAGTCGAATAAACAAGTCGCTCAATATTAAGCAGCGGTGGCAGCGGGCTAAGATAATATAGTAGCAAATCATGCTCGTAGCCATAGCTGAAGGAGCCGGGGCATGGGGTAGGGACCGGGGGGCTTCCCAACTAGTTTCAAGAAATGAAATGGGGTTTAACGTCCTTCTGTTCTGCTTGGAACTGGGCTAATGAAGACGGGCAGACGCCATACACTGTGCGATGAGGGAAATTTTGCCCGGACAGCGGCACTACGGCCTACTCTTATATCGAATTCCATCTGTCAAAGGGATCTTTTACGTCCACTCCAATGTATACACGGGACCTCGGTTTTTCGTCCCATCCGAAAGACTAGACAGCTGTCCTTGTCCGCCACGAAAAGAATAGAGTCCCTATATATAATATGAACGAAGAAAGGGGATGGGGTGGGGCGGGGGGGGGGGGGGGTATTTGACATTTTCATGTGGCCTCGTCAAGTCGATAAAATCAGTCAGTTAGTTCAGTCGAATAATCCAGTCGAATAAACCAGTCGAATAATTCAGTCGAAAAGTTCAGTCGAATAAACCAGTCGAATAGTTCAGTCGAATAATTCAGTCGAATAATCCAGTCGAATAATTCAGTCGAACAAACAAGTCGCTCAATATTAAGCAGCGGTGGCAGTGGGCTAAGATGATATGGTAGCAAATCATGCTCTTAGACATAGCTGAAGGAGCCGGGGCATGGGGTAGAGACCGGGGGGCTTCCCAACTAGTTTCAAGAAATGAAAAGAAATGAAATGGGGTTTTAACGTCCTACTGTTCTGCTTGGAACTGGGCTAATGAAGACGGGCATACGCCATACACTGTGCGATGAGTGAAATTTTGCCCGGACAGCGGCACTACGGCCTACTCTTATATCGAATTCCATCTGTCAAGGGATCTTTTACGACCACGTCAATGTGGACACGGGACCTCGGTTTTTCGTCCCATCCGAACGACTAGACAGCTGTCCTTGTCCGCCTCGAAAAGAATATAGTCCCTATATATGATATGAACGAAGAAAGGGGATGGGGTGGGGCGGGGGTGGGGGGGATGAGGTATTTGACATTGTCATGTGGCCTCGTCCAGTCGATAAAACCAGTCAGT